CTAATGTAATAATAAAGTATAATCGTTTGTCTTTTCCTATTCACGCAGTCATTCTATTACATATTGACCGTTTTCACAAAGTGCTTCTTATTTTTGGTTTTTTGTATCAGACCCAAAGCAGCTTACAAGGAATCGAAGAAAGTTTTGTTGAAACAGTTCAGGAATCTCTACAACATGGTGAAAGTACAAGTAATCTGATGCAACTCTGCAATTCGAAAGTTGAAAATATTTCTGCAAACATTATGGAAGATATGAGAGACACAGAAGAAAAAGTACAAGCGATAGTCGATGTGAGTGATTGAGCTGGATTATTTATGAAAACTTATTCGGATACTTATGAATCAGAAATATTGATTAATGATTGAGATGGTCAAGATAATTAAACGAGTGAATCGGCAACCCAATTTTTCAACAGCCAATGAAAGGGTATTAGGACTGAAAAGTCTTAATATCTTCGCTAACAAATTAACCCTGCCAACTTAAATTGAATAACATTATCATCAACGACACAGTGTGTCCCTCTTTTATCCTTGGTTTATTGCCATGGTGGCACATGACTATTTTCGATTGCGATGAAATATAAGATAATCATCGCAAATTAAGTTCAATGAATAAGTCTCAGACGTGAAATTGCCACTCCTTTTCAAAATATTGTTTAAAGTAAACCCATCTGGATGACGAGACAATATTCACAGGATTTTCTAATGCCACAAACTTCATGTTTTTACAGGATGATAATGAAACTGCCACTACCTTCTGTACTTCTGCTAAGAACTTGATAGAAGAGAGTGTACATAGCAATGAAAAAGACATTGCAAGTTTGCAGGATATGATGACAAGTTCAAGCAAATTGCAAGATCAAATGTCAACGGTTGTTACAGATGGAACCACAGAATTAACAACAATAACTGAAGAATTCTGTGATTCGGAATTGATACATGTCAAACCTACAGGTCTATCTCAAATTTTAGTGCATTATTTATTATTCATGGGCCATGGCTAAAGTATTGGACACTGATTAACTAACTAACATGGTTTTGTCCCAGGATCTAAATTTTTTATTATACCAACACGCAGGGTGGGAATGACTCGAGTCATGAATTTTTAAAATTTGCTAGATTTGGCTACGATCGAATCAAAAAGTTACATATTGTACACAAATTTAGAGGACTTGACTTGATTGTGTTTCACCACAAATATCTGATACTGATACTTTTTTAACTTGACTTGATTCAGTTATAATAATATAACCAAGTGATACCATGATTCCTCATTAACAAAAGCAAATTCTGATAAAAACAGCGGTTTCTGTTACCTTAATTCTTGAATACATTTTTTTATATTTCACAAATAATTTTATATACCAGTAACTTAGACGAGTTTTTAACACATCCTTTGATTTTATTTATCTGTATATCTTATTTTCCTGAGCCCCAATTCTTTTATGCATAAAATAGGTTCAATTACATTTTAATTAATTAATCAATTACATTACACCTAAATGGCATAAATTAAGGAATATTTTGTTTGAATGGTTCTGTCTATACAGGAGAAACACCAGCAAGAAAAGATTACTCGTACCCTAAAAATTTCCAGTTCCTTCCACCCGATGACGAATTGTTAAAATCTTTCAATGAGAGAATGCAGATAGAAATGGAAGAAGAAGAAGAGAGATTGGCCATGGAAGAGAAACTTGCGAAAGAACGAGAGCTGGCTAGTGTAAGTTTCTGGATTTATTGGTTAGGAAATTTGGCGCTGATGATATTGAGTTGTTTTGAATGTTATTAGACTACCTATTAATTAGCCAATAATAATCCACCATTTTTTCATCAACTCACAAATGTAGTCTTACTGACAACTTTTTTTTGTAACAATTTTTTCTAGTTGATCAAGTTATTACAAATATTTAAGATTCAGTAAAACTGAAAGTTCAAGTGGGTATTGAAAATGATTGTGTGCTAAGTCAATTATGTTCACTAAAATAGGCATCGCACCACTAAGTATTCCACTGAAGACAATTGAGTTCAAACCACATATTCTTCATGCAGAATGTCTGTACTGCTTTGTATCTTTTTTTAATTCGTCAAATAATACGGGCAACTGCATAATTTTCTTTTTTTTTGCTTTGAGCAAACTTAAAAATCTTTGAGATCCATTTGTCAATTATTACAAAACTTGCTCAAATTTGTGACCATGGGGCAATTAAATTGATTCTATTTTAATTACACAGGGCAACTCGTCCATCGAAAATATATCAGATATTTCTGAACCTGAGAATGTTCAATGTGGAACCGGGAAGCCATTCTTCATGGTATGTTTTGTTTTATCCATTATGCTGCCATTTGTAACTACCGTACTACAAAAAATATATAAAAATCTAAAAAAATTTGAAACTACTATATAAAAATACTTTTGTAGCAAAGTACTGTTGCTAAGCATTGGCCCCTTATCCAATTTAGGATCAAACACTTCAATTTTTACTCAATAAAATATTATTATATTTTCATACGTAAATTTCAAGCCTTGACTTCACTTTGATTACTGTTACTATCTACAAATCATTATATTTTTATCATCATTTTTTTCTCTTGTTGCGCAGGCACAACATGAACAAAAGCGTTCCAAAAAGAATCAAAAGCAGCCAAACGCCAAATCTCGTCTTCCTCTAAAGTCGACTCAGAACATCCATTAATCGGTGATCACAGTACTGCCGCAATGTCTAATGTATCATTTTCGTGTAGTGTGTGTATTTGTCAAGCTTGTATGTCAGTGATTAAATATGGATGAAAAAGGATTACATTGTCATTGTAAAAAGTCATAGGAAAACTATTATTCTATGTTCAGTTCAGTCTTTGTAATAATTTAATATGAAAGCCTGGTTTGTCTTTATTGTGAGGTCTAAGAAATAATCGAATCGCCAGATTTGGAAAATTCTATTTCAGTGTATTAGTACACAAGTAGAAAATGTTTTAAGTTCAAGGTTTTTCAACAGAATATATTTTTTCTGATTGCTTGCTTTTATTTCATCATCTCAATCTGTTGGGAGTATTTTGAAGTTTTGAAACATGTTTATCCTGGTCGTGTTTTTATTCTTCTGCAACATTGGTAGCGCTTACAAAACAGTTGTCTTATAATTTTATCTTTGTGAGCTCAGTGCTGTTTTTTGTATATATATATTATATATGCCGGGAGTTTTGCATGGACTAACTGCGTTAAAAATGTCATTTCACTTCTGCTAATATTGTACATAGGATTATCACCAGTTATTGACTTTTCGGACTAACTCTATGTGTGGTACCATCTGTTTAGCATATATGTATCACTGCCAGTACCCAAACTTCTATATAATCTACTGCGATTTGGATTTTTTCAAGATTTGATCATCAGTAACAAAATTACATGCAAGATTTACTCGTTTGTGATGAAATCGCAGTAATTCTATTTACTGCCTTCTGTTCTTCATTTTCTGCCTCTTGTTGTGCTTTGTTTTTTAATTTAGGACTTATCTGATTTTGTTATTCCAATGATTGTGTGGAAATATAATCTCAAATTTCACAACACATGAGTTTGCCCTCGTATAGTTTGGTGGCGGCAGCCGCAAAATCTAGGCAAGTAAAAAATAAGCCGCGGTGAAGCTTTCTAATGCAGGGTTGCCATATTGTTTTTTAAGCCCAAATTTGGTATTTTTCGAACACGTTTGGCGTCAGAATTTCGTTTTTGGCTTTTTATATTGTCTGTTATTAAAATCATAGGAAATACAATATTTAGTGTGTAACAGTAGCTTAGCTACATAACATTTGAAATTCCCCGAGCATCCTTGTTGATTACCTTACTGCCCGCTCAGACAGATGTTCAAGCAGGGTTGTAAACATTGCCTCGTTTTTATTTTTGCGTGTTATTTGTCAGTTTTTAGTTCTGTTTCCAAAAAATAGTTGTATAACTTAGGTAATTGTCACCTTCTCAGGAGCTTTAGTTTAATTGCAGTAATCAAAACTTAGCCTCATGAACGATGTCAGGATGTGATTAACTGCGCTAAAATTAGTTATCAGTAGTCCACCTGTAAGCGGCAAGTGGTTAGATATATTTTTTTTTCAATAAAAATCATGGTTTCAAAATGTTTAGGGTGAATGTTTTAAAGGTATATCACATACTGAAGCGGCACCCTGTGTATATTATTGAATTGTTGATTAATGCTGTTCGATTGATATTTATTTATACAACTTTTTCATATACAGTAGATGTCAGCTTAACTGTATTATGTCGAATGTAGATTCTGGTGCTCAATTAATCATTTTTACTTTCAAACCCTTCATCCTGCTGAAGTGGAAATTGTCATGATAGCAACCGAAAATACAACTTTCAATGGGAAAAGACATTTGTGTGGCTCACTAAATGAACTGATGGATCTACATCAGCATATTGCAAACCCACTATTGTGCCATGGGTACCAAACATGGGGCTTTTGTAAAATTGTTGGCTTTTTTTCGTTTTGATTTAGCTTTTTTGATCACTGGGATCTGGCAACGCTGGTCTTGTGGTGGAATTATACGATATGATGCTTATAGCTTGTGCAGTTACGGTACAACAGAATCAAATATTTGATGCGGAGATTTTCACTGATGTTAGCTGTAGAAATATTACGATACAGTGGGAGCGTTTTGCCACTGGCAGTGTGGCATGCCAGTGACTTTTGGCACGGTACCGTACCGTATGATAATCTACAGTTTTAAGTTCATGTGGTTTTGTGGCAGCATGTGGTTTGTTCCAGTGTTCTGGGTCATGTGCGAAGTCAGTCAGTGCATTATACACTGCAGCTCTCAAGTTTTTTCACGCATCTTATTGTATAGGCTAGTTTATATTTATTATACAGACCTAGGCTGTTTATATAGGATTTACATATTATTAATAACTTAACTACTGAACTCAGGTTACTAAAAATCTAAAGCAAACTGCAGAACTGATAAAATTTTGTACAAAAGGCTGAAAATGAAAACTATATTATTATTTATTTTTTCAGTCATAATAATTGCATCATCTCTACAATTCTTCTTGACTGTAATATTGTATTATGGTAAGCCTACGAGCCATTAGATGCAAAAGTGTCATACTCTGCATTTTCTAGTGAATGTTCAAGTTTTATAAATTTTGGTGGGGGATGGCACATAATTCAAATCGTTTTATTCCAAGTCCGTGGCTGAGAGCTGCCGAAGCAAACTCTGACACATATAATCACAGAAGCAATTTTTCAAATTATTATCAACCACCCCTGGGTTGGCCACCACAAAATAAATGCTGTAATAGCTGGGAAGGTAGGTATCAAACATACAGAAATCTTCCATCTTCATCTGTCTATTCAAACACACGATGGAGCTCAAGAACAACGCCATCTTATACTCCATTTCACCAAAGTGATTCAAAACGTTCGAGCCATTATACCACTCGCCATAATAGGAAGGAATCAAACAATAGATTTTTCAAAGGGGATTATGATGGAAGTGCACCATTCGCAACTCACAGCGTTTCCAATCACGGATCAATGGGCTTTACCTGGAGAAATTCAGCCCTTGACGGTTGTAAGTTAGGTTACTGAATTCAGGATTCGATTCTGTGTTATTCACACTAAAGAATTAAGTGTTCCAGAGAAATATTCGCAATCATCTAACCCCAAGGGTATTGCAGCATAAAATTAATGTTTTTCCTATCTTCTTATTGGACATTAGTTCAGTTTTAGTTAACTTAGTTGTTTTAGAAAAATTGGAAGTTCAAAAGGTGATAAAACGAGTAAATTTAATGTATTATTTCTGATTTTTAAAATAATTGCAAATACTCGTTTTTTGTGAAATTAAATTATGATATCATATAACACCAAAATACCTTTTTGTTTAACTTATTAGTAAAACATCTCGACTCAAATTTGAACATGACCTGTAATTTTACCAGACTGTACTCTTATATTAGATTTTAGCTATTCCTAGTTACTGCTCAGATTTCACGATTTGAGATGTTAGCATTTTGCCATAGATTGTTTTGAAAGAACAATATTTCTTTTACATCATTTCTTATATACTCTCATCTCATGATAGGTGTTTCAACTTCAAGTTATTCGAATCATCAAAAATTCTCTCGGCAACCTGCTCGTCATTACACCCACAGACGAGATGATTCAGACACATCTTTTCGAATCTTCAAACGATCAAAAAAACATGAACATGAAAGCCCTCGTTCAAGTGCTGCCCCCACAGGTTGAATAACTGATTTCAGATTTAATATAAAATATTAGTTATATGTGTTTGATCCCTTTGGTGTTTTCTTATTTTTGATAATTTGAATTTTCGATAGCCTACCATAGCTCTACTTCACAGTGTAATATCCATGTGTGCAAGTACTTAAAAAAGTGTGGGACTTCAGAACCAGTACCTCTCAAGTTATTAATTTCTCACCGAAATTGGAGCCTGCTTATATGTATTATTTGAGTTTGGGTTTTTCATATACAAAGTATTGAATCCTGCCTGCTCCAAAAAAAATTACCGTTTATTTAAATAAAGATTCTTCCAGTGCAATACAAATATATCAATACATACAAGGACAAGCATGATTTCAATCTTTTTCTTTTCGTACTTGGATAACTTCAAATTGTAAAAAGTTGAAATACTGTTTATAGTTACTTGTCTACATAATATTTTATGGATACACCATTTGAGTCGGTCATGTTTATTATATCCCAAGACCCAAAAGTACTATCATCCGACAAAGGGTTGCGGGCTGTGCATTCAACGCCCATCTAATTCTATCTTAATTGTAAAGCGAAGTGCAGTTTATTATTTTCCAATTTTAGAAACGGAAAGTAGCACAGGATATGCTTCATCAAACTCTGATATAGATTGGTCAGATACTACCAGGTATGTTTTTAATCATTTTATTCTTCACACAGAAGCAAATTTCTAACAAATGACTTACTGTAATGTTTTTGTTATTGGATTTTCAGATTCCAGATGGAACGTGAATGGGAAGATATGGAATCTCCTAATTGTTTATGTCGGGATGCAATCAGAAGGAAAAATAATTTCAGGATAGTTTCTTATAATATTTTATCACAGGTATGATTACTCAGGAAATTTAGTTTCCGATAGATCTTCTTGGTAACAACTAATGATGTTCAAACTTTGTCACAGAAACTATTAGACATCAATGATGGATTATATCGAAAATGTGATCCTAACATATTACTATGGGAATATCGTTGGCCAAGGATAAAGTTGGAGATTGAAAAGTTCAATGCAGATGTGAGTATTCCCCTCTTAAACAAGATCACACGATAATATGGAAAATATCCAAAATCATATTAAGGCCAGGGGGTATTATCCCATTGCAACTCAAAAATTAAATTCAAATGTTTGTTTATTCAAGATTGGTTTTGAGAATTATGGGAAAAGATTGTTTATCCAAACAGAAAGCGTAATAGCAAATATGAAAAGATTACATCATGTATTTCCGAGGCTGAGTAATCACGCAATATATGCGATATAGCCTCACTAAGTTTGCAGTGATTTTTTATATAGTGTGCCAGAAACTGAAAAAGTTTGAGAACCACTGACTTCAAGTATCTGCATCATGTTCAAAGTAGCAAATCTTCCGTTATAAAATTCTGCCAATGGGTATATACCACCATATCAAGTTTCAAAAAATTTGAAAGAGCTTCAATTTGTGGATGGAAAATTTACGTTTAGATTCTTTTTAGATTCTATGTTTGCAAGAAGTTGAAGAATATCATTATAACGAGGAAATTTTACATTTTCTCGAAAGTTTGGATTATCAATGTGTTTATAAGAAAAGAACTGGTAACAATAAAAATAAACCTGATGGAGTTCTTATCGCTTATAAAAAAGAAAAATATAAAATGCTTTCTGAGAAAAAAGTGGAATATTTCAGGTTTCTACAAAACTTATTATATTTATATCATGCTTTATATCCTATTTATTGTCATTATTGATTTTAGATAGTTGTAGTCTTGTAGATATTATTGATTTTAGACAGTTTTAGATAGTTGTCTGAAAAACCTGGGTAACAGAAGCATTGCTTACCTGTGTGATTATCTATGATGCAACATGATAGAAACTTCAAAATCTAAACCTATCCTTGAGCATTGTTTCGTTGAGTTGTTTCTGCATTGGTCCATTTATTCGATATAAGTTTCTTATATTTGTGGGTGCTAACAGTTGATGTATTAGAATTAACTGTGTTGGCTTCGCCAGTTATACATATTTTATTCAAACCTAATCCACCACCTCACCAAAGGGGTAAATAATTAGTTAAGCAATGCAGAGCTGGAATGATTCCAATCCTTCCAAAAATAATAGCTCCTCGCATATTTTTTGCGAAAGGTGTAAAAACCGAATAAAAAAGGATTTATATACTACTTTCAGGGGTAATTTTTCTCCGGTTAATCAAGATAATGTTGGTGTTATAACTTTGTTGAAACCTATTTCTGCAAACTCTGAAGCTGCTGATTCTCATAATGAAAACAATTGTATATGTATTGTCAACACTCATCTTTTATATAATCCAAAACGAGGTGGGTATGTCTGAAATGACTCTTTGTTCTCTATGAATCTATATTTATGATTACTTGAGCTTGATGAAACAAGAAAGCAAGGCTTAACTATATGTAGACAAAGGTCAAATGTCTAATAAAATATTCCTCTATGTTGTGTAAATTATTTCCAAAAATAAACAGCGAAACCTCGGTTGGAATATTGGGCCTCAGGATCTGTAGTCATTGTGATTTCAAACCAGCTCTCCTTGCCTGCCAATGACCATCAGCAAACTTGATATAAATAGGTGTTTTTTTGTGAATTTTTTACTAGATAGGAGATGCTTATAATTTACAAGTTCTCTATTAATTTTCACAATCGAAGTGAATAATAATATTTCAATTTTTCAGAGTAAACTTTGTCTCCTAAATTTACCAAAACTCAATCTCAGTAGGGATTCAGAATTCTCAAAATGCTCATATCTAACGCTGATCTTATCTTAAATTTACAGGTGACATCAAATTAGTGCAATTATCAACCTTATTTGCTGAGATCCACAAGATTATTTCCAGTTATCCATCCATTAAAATTCCAATAATTATGTGTGGAGATTTCAATAGTACTGCCAATTCTCATTTATTTGAATTGATAACGCAACAACAAATCAATTACGAAGGTTTGATAATAATAAGCGAACTTAATAATAAATTTTTTAAATTGATATCTAGCTAAACAAGGCCACTTGTCATGCCAGTATATATATATGATGTAAGCTAGACTCATTTGTGGCACTATTTGAATTAGGAAAATTTCTCATTTAATTTCGGTTTTTCAGTAATGGTAAATGCCTATGCTCTAAGAAATTCCTGTGCACTATTTACTATATCATAATGCCAAAAGGTAAAAATTATGGAAGACTCTTTTCATGTTGTAACTACTGGATTGACACAGGTTCGATATGCTATGGTTTATCATGCAAGTGAAATTCAGCATAGAAATGGATGTTGAACATGGCCATCACATCACCAAACATTTGATACACAGTTTATACATACAGCATGAAGCTGGAAGTCTAAACGACAGTGTAATTGTGTTTGTTATACATTTGTATTGAACACACAGTTGAAATATTTGACTTATTTCAAAATTATAGTTTGAGAACGGTATTCATATTTGTGCAATCATATTTGAAAACTTGATTTTCTTTATCTTGCAGGATTGTTGTCAAAACATGTTTCTGGTCAGAAAGTAGGGCATAAGGGTAGAGAAGTATTGCTGCCGGATCCATTGCTGCCTGAATGCCTGAACATTGCAGATGATGGATGCACACACACATTAAAAGGTAGTTGAAGCTTATCTATCTTTTTGATGAATTTGATTTGTGACGCCCAGTAATAAGTTGGGCCGCTTATATAATTGCATTTTTATGCAATTAGCATGTAGCCAACAGTTTGTGTAAATGTTCGTTATTCAGAGGAATTTTTTGTCCATTTTGTTGAAATTTTAACACCGACACATGTTAAGACTATAGTCAGTGGTGAAATTTGATGTTAATAACTAGTAAATGAAATTTTCTGTTTCTTGGGTCTCTTTTATTAGAAGCAGTGATTTCAAGCACCCAGAATTTGGTTTAATTTATCATCCCTATTTAACAATAGAGATAACTGTTTGTTACTCCACAGGTGACAAATGCCCACAAACACATACTACCTCTGAGAACGATGACCGGAAATCTGTGCCATTTTTACTACGTCATAGTCTTGGAACATTGAAATCTGCTTATACTCACGATAAACCAGAAGCATCTACTACTCAGGATCGTGGTATCACAGTAGACTATATTTTCTACTCACCTTGTGCTTGCAAAGAAGGTGCAACAAACTCTTTTACTTCTTTACAAAATCAATCGAGTACATCCATCTATCCTCAGAAAAGATATGGTCTTGTCGATCCAGGAGAGTTAAGACGTGTTCGCAGTATTCCAAACGCAGCTCATCCGTCAGACCATCTACCAATTGTGGTCGATTTTGTAATGGTGCAATCTTAATTATTTTTTTAAGTTTTCAAGTATTATTCACTTTACCGTACATTCATCAATATGAGACTGGTTTTAACAATAGCCATTGATATATTACAGTTTCCACCACCATCATACCCATGCATCTGAAAAGAGTAACTGGTTACCTATTCCAGTACCCGGCATGGACTGGTAACCAGAGGAGAATCCATGGTTCACCATACTATGAAGCGTCCTATCGTTTTTCCTCTCTCTATCCTAACAGAATCACATTCATGCAACAGTTTTACTGTTTTAATTTGAGATCTTTCAGTAAACTTGAATCTCTTTTCTCACATTAATACTATGTGATACTTTTTTTAGAACATGAAGTATATTTAATGAATATCAAATTCATGTTAAATGAATTCGAGAATTACTTTTACATCCTAAAATTGGGCATAAATCGTGATTAGCAGTTCATGTTCACGGTTATACAATGTGGAAAATAAGTCTGCATATTTACATTGCACCCAAAGGCTCATTTCGGATTTTCACCAAATTCAAGTTTGTTTAACTTGGTTTTTTACTACACAGAATAGGGTTTGCTTATCCACACATGAATGAAATAAGTTATAATAAAAATTTTATTTAAACAAAAGTAAGCCTTAAATTTTTTTATAAAATATTACTCAAATTTTTGTCATTTTTATTGCTTTGATTTTGTCTTTTTGTCCAATTGGCGCCTATTTCCTATTGACGACTTGAATTGTCTTTGAGCATCGATTCACACTTGTTCTCCCATTGGCCAATATTCGTTGGTGAAAATCTCGAGTAATGGCGGCCAAAAATTACTTCCTCGACTTTTTCCCGGTTTCGTCCATCTTGTCGCGAACGGCTTGGAGAGCTTTTAAAACTCAGAGAATCAGTATTTTTTTTTTTATGAAAGACCGTTCCTCCTGCCAGTCGGCGCACAATTATTTGGCATGGGTATGTATATGCCTCTGGGTTCACCGTTGAAATTATTGAAAACAGAAACCTGAAGATGACCATTTGCTGCCGACGCATTACTTAAAGGTTTTGGTTATTTAATATTTCTATTCACATACTCTATCGCAGGGTTATTCAACTGGCGGTCCGAATCCGGTCCTTTCGACTGCTAAACTTAGACCGCAACTGCTTCTTGACATTGGATGCACCGTTTGTAATGCATTTTTCGCCAAACCGTCGAGGAAAAACTGTCATGGCAATGTTGGTTTCTCAGAGCATCGACACACTTGTTTACTCAACAAGCATTCATTGTCTAAGTCACAAGTGAAATTTTAGGATCTTCTCGGATACATTTTTTTAGACATGGTGGCGGACATTAGCTTGTTTTGGTAGCTCCTAGCATGCAGGTATTTGTCAGTTCCTAGATGTATTTTCGAAATTTAAAAATATATCATTTGACTCGAATTTTCTTGCAAAATAGTATACTCTCACTTTCTAGAACCATGGTTGAAATAATTTGCAAAAAGGAAAAAGGATATTTTTCAGACTAACGATTGCCAAATATATTTTCTATCGGACCCGAAGTCAACTAATGGATCGCTTTCTTGTGGACTTAGTAGTTTTTCTTAATATTGCTCGAAAATAGTGTTTCTCCGCAACTAATATGTTCCAGTCTTGAAGATAATCTAAGTCGCTGAAAGAGTTTCGAAAATATATATATATTTTATGGGTACTATGGGGGCAAATATTTCATAATATCTAACGCGCTCGGGTACACAACTGAAGCTTTGTCATACGACACCGAAGCGAGATATTGAACATTTGGATAGGGTTTGCATATTTATCCTGAGGGAGAAGAAAGCCGACAAGACGGTTTAACCATATGGCGAACCACGGCCTCTCGTCCGGTAGCCATTTCATGTCGGGTATGGAATTAGTTACTTATTTGTTTTCGGAATCATGGACTTGGATAGTGGAGAAAGCCGTAACCGACCAGCGGTTACGTGAACCACCCTATGTCGGCGAGGAGTCCAGCAAACCAGAAATGCGGTGAATGCATTCGGAGCGTATTCCTGACGCTTAGTACGATGAGCCACCGGCCATCCGACCCACGAAGTAATATAATCCGGCCCGCGACGCTTCACTGAATTAAACTAACAAAACAGCTGTTTTGACGATTATATTCTTTACGTAACAAGCATAATATTCACAATTACTCGTTTGATGAGCCTATAATTTAATTATAATTAGGCAAAACGCAGAAACGTTGATGCTAAGTGCAAATGGTTCAATGGCGCCGAAAATATTCTGATGAAATTTTTTGAGATTCATTACAATGATGAAATAAATCTATATTCTATTCGAGAGGAGAGATGCTCCTTGCTTGATTTTTATTATAAAAAGAATCATCAGTTCGGTTATCAACCTTCTAAAAATATGTGCGGCCCGCCAATGACTTGCAACCCCTGAATTTGGCCCGCGAGCTACCAAATGTTGCCGACCCCTGTCTTAGACTATAGCGAATGTATATAATAAAAGCCTTTGCTCGTGGCGCCGCATAACCGTTTCGGATCCCTTCATGGGGGCCTAATGTCCGTTCAAGAAATCCTGGTGTTTTAGTGAACAACAGTATTCTTTATGGCAGTGCTTTCCAACCATTTTCGAGCCAAGGCACACTTTTTTCATTGAGAAAATCCCGCGGCACACCACCAGCTGAAAATGTGGGAAAAAGACCTAATATTCAGAATATAAGTGTTATCTTGTTGATATAAGCTTTTTTAACATTGAAGAAAGATGTTGAATTGGACACCTTGAATGGTAATCAAATAAAAACAAATCAAATCGCCACCTTCTGGTATAGCACAGTACTACATGATTACTCTGCCGGGCGCTACACCGCATAGCCATAGACATACAAATTGGAGAATTTCCCACGGCACCCCTGACAATATTTTACGGCACCCCGGTTGAAAAACACTACTCTATAGAACGAACTATTTCTAGTTTGGGCATTGGAAGCGGACTTCCGGCAAAAAATTCAAAGTGCAGTTTATTGCAAACTAATATCATATTTTACGTGTGTTTAATTCAAGTGAGCCGAGAGAATTTTTTAGAGGCTAGCTAATCTCTTTGGCGAGACGTGGTTTTACTTTACAGTGAATTACCCACGGAACATGTTATGTGGACTTAACGGTACATACAGAATACAGATCCAGCTGATCGCGGTCCACGAACAAGTACTTCAATAGCCAGTTTATGATGCCATAAGGCCTGACAACATCCGATCAGTTGCACCATTTGGCATTTACTCGACATCTCCTGATGATAAAATGTAGCAATTTTATTTCTTGGAACATCAAAATAATTGATTTCATGTGAAAATACTGGAAAACAAAATTAATTGATACTAAAATTGCGATTATAATTATAAATTTCGTGAAATTCAATTTCGGAAGTTATTATGTTTTAGCACTAACCAATTTAAAACTAAAATTTCATTTCCAGTTAAAGATCCACCAATTTAAATTTAAAATTTTCTTTTTAAAACGCATTATCCACTTCAAAACATTTTTAATTATCATGACTTCGGTTGAAACGTGATTAGAAACACTTTCACATCGTTGAAACTTGACAGAGCATTTTTACATTTCGCAGAGCAATTTTTAGAATAATGTGAAGATGCGACAAAATAATAAAAAGGTCTTCATGTGAGCTCACGAGAATCAGTTACAATTCGTAATTCAACACTTCGGTGTCAGGTAACGTTATTTTTCCAGCAATATTTGGAGTCTGATATTTTAGATTAGAAAACTCAACTTACCACTAGTTCCAGAAATGCGGTATTAACAAGTCGACTAATATGAAGTTCTATGGAAAAGCTTACATTTCTCTGGCGTTCATTTTTGCACATGGCCCGACTGCACAAGGTAAATAAATATCTATTTCAATATAAATGTTTGATTTATCCTAGAAAACGGCAATGAAGAAATATTCTACTACATTTGTTCCAAAAGCTCGACAAAAATATCATCATTAACTCAGAATGATAGATACTTTCGCTTTCTTCTAAAAGTGACTCAACCACAGTGCAAAATAATTCATCCAACATTTCCAGTCGGATGAGGTGCAGATCAGATAGGCTACTCAATGAATGTATTTTGAAGGAATGATATTTCCACGATGTGTTTTATAAAACTCTGCTTACAGCCTGAACAAAGTATCTGTACCTTGAACGGGTAATTTCTAATATATATATATATATATATGTGTATATATATAATGTCAACTATATCCCAACGCCATGGAGCTGCATTTTTCGGTTGCATCTGGACAAATAACGACGGGTTGTATTCAATGGCATGATTTTTTTTTTCAATTGTCATCAATGTTTAGGGCAAACTCTGACGACGTCTACAAAAGACACTTGTGCCACTACTGAAATATGTTATGATCCAGCGACTTCAAGGATGAAGGCTGAATGGAGTGGAATAAATTTTGGAATTCAATCGGTCAGTACATCTGCTCAAGATGTTGTTTTTCTGTATGTAATAGTTTTTGTAAAATGCGTGAGGGTGCATTGCGCACATTGGCATTGAGAAATGTTCGCAGAAGTTGCAAGTGACTGCTACCTGAGAAGGTCAGTGTCAAATGACAAAAATATTTGATCCTTATACTATGGGAGAATATAATATGAATGGATTTTAGCATATGTATTGGATTTATGTATGTACTGAAAAGGAGACATTTAGGATTTGTTTACGGAATATTAAGACAACGTAAATAGCATTAAAAATCAGCCTAAACCAACGATTTAAAAAATGTTGAAAACTGTTTCCAAAAAATCTCAAAATGTAACCTTTTCTGTACTCAATTTTCTATTATAGAAAACTTTCCTTTGCATGTTGTTTATATTACTAATATAATCTGTTCATTTTGAAGAGTGGAGGAATTGCGGGTCCGCCGGGGCCTCCAGGACCAGTTGGTCCCGTAGGTGATAAGGGAGAGCCAGGACCTCCTGGTAGACCGGGAGGAGTCTCAATAGAAGATGTTAAAAAGGAAATACTTGCATTATTGGGAGAGCCATCTGTTGGGAAAACACAACCTGTTGATGCCAACATTGAAGGTACAAATACTTTGACCAAAGTCATGCTTTTACATTGGAACATCTTTGTTTCGTCTAAGATCTTAGAAGACAAAACCTTAAATCAAATGGGCCAGGTGTGCCCAATGTGTAACCAATCAAATGCGATTGCGTTCCTATGAATAGGAAAATAACGGTTTCGTGGAGGAGTAGGTTCAAATTAACAGGACATGGTGCGATAAAAAACTATTCAGTGACAATATTTCATTACGTTTTTTATGCAGAAGCAATTTTGAAAATTACCAATTTAAAAATATTTGTCTTATCGGAAGTTGAGTATTTGATTGATTTTAAAATTTTCTTTTTTTCAGCCCGTCTAACCAGACTTGAAAATACTGTGAAAAGTGAGTATTGAATACAAACTAGTTTGAAACTAGGTGTGAAGTCAGAAAAGGAATATCAATTTACGGTATAGTTCGGTTGATTGTGACGGCTTGATGTTTATAAATAATTTAGAACGATGTTTTGACAAAACTTGCATTATCTTGAAATTGCTAGCTTCAAAATAATAGACTGGTCATATCAGCAGGCATCATATGTTACATACTATGTTAATTGCCATGTTTACAACGTTCAATATCACAGACAACTTGAACTAGCTATAATGTTTTCAGGTATATTGAACTTACCGGAACCAAAACCACGGATAAAGCCTAATGGTAATATTGAACTTTTTACAAAACCATTTAGGTTAAAAATAAGTAAAATGCTATGAGTAGACTTGGATAAGTCCAGAGTAAACTACGGTATTCGCAATGTATCTTGAAAAGTTGTAAATGCAAAATTTTAGCATATGGTATTGCCTTAATTAGCGTGTAGTTAATTAGTTGTTATGTAACTAAAAAACTACATCAAATTGGCTACATGACTCTTTTAGTTACATAACAACTAATTGGCTACAAGCGTACTGTGTGATGTGTATTTCAACATCTAGTCTGTCTGTCTATCTACATCAATTTATCGTGTTGTCTTCATTTACATAATATGTTGTTTCCGAATGATTTTAACCAACTAAACCAATGATCCTGTAAATTTTCAACTGCTTTTCTGATAATATGAAATGTCCGCCAGTCTAGCTTATCCACCAATCACTTTTTTACTATTTGTGACATTTTGGGACTTTTTAGTTCCTTTGGGAGTACCAGAAGGCGAGATCGACATCTTAGGGTGGGTTTCTGCATCGAACGGATACGAATATTTTATCAGCGGGAATGTCAACTACGAAGAAGGGAAAAAGTTTTGTGAATTAAGAAACTCCACACTCGCTATCGTTGGTATCAGGGACACCGAAGTTCTCTTGTGAGTTAATCATTTGTATTTAGTTCACCCAAATTGATTATTGTACATTTATTGCCAATCATCTGATATATTTTATGTCGTGCAGATACCTGTATAAGAACTTCATAACAAAGAGAAAGTCGTCTGTTTGGATCGGTTTGAACGACAAGGACACGGAAGGAGATTGGTACTGGGAAGACGGCATTAGATCAACTATGTTTAACACTCCTTGGGCGGAAAATCAACCCGATGACGGTTATCAAAGAGAGGATTGCGCCTTATTTTCAGTTAGATATGGAAAAGTATACGATTCAAGATGCAGCACCGATCAAAGAGCTCTATGCGAACGATAAATAAAACCAAAACTAACGATAAAATATCCTGAATGTGAAATTTAATGTGTTATTTGTATTTTACTGGCTATTTTCTGGCAAAGGTAGTCGTTTTCAAGAACTGTTTTTATCGACTTAAAGTTGAGCAATGGTGTTAGTAAAGTAAATATCACATTTTCTCAGATTACAAATCTAATATTTCATTCTAACGTATCAAAGATAACATCTATTGCTAATATGATACGTCGACTGTCACTTATGGTGCACATTGCAAGTAATACGAGATATTGACGAAGATATATAAAGTGATGTTTTACTTTATTCAAAATCGTCATAGCGGCTTGATAATATTTACACGATGACGAAGCTTAATAGTTTTCTTCTTATAAACTTAGCCTTTTGAACTAATTGTCCATTTCTTTGAAAAGTTGTTATGCTGCTTTTTAACGACTAAAACAATGTATGAAGTAATTATCAAAGTTAGGTTTGAATTTCAGCAATCAAACGCCACGCTCACAAAGCGGATAATACAGTTCTGAAGAACACGGGATATCGTTATAAGTCCCTTCACGTCCATAACGAATCTGAGCACAATGTTCCCTTCCTTCATGATTGTTTGGCTCATGTTCATCCCAATCAGTAGCATCTTCATCAGCATTAATCCCATCCAGCCATACCCAACTGCCTTGTTCTTCTATATCTGTCAGTCCAATCCATAATCCCGTTTTGTATGCATCAGTGAATAAAAATTCAAGAATTTTTCTGTCAAATATGAATCAAAACCGAGATGAAAAATAATATATAGATTGGCTGTCGTTATTCATTGAAATAACCGAAAGCAATTGTGTTCATAAATATTTTACGTTGTTTCATAATAAATTCCCTGGTGTATTGATTCATTGACGACGCCCTTCTGTTACAATGATTCCGAGATCTTGTCCGACATAAAAAAAAATTGACCAAAGCAGTTGTTCTAGATGTCCCCAAACCCCAATCTAATAAAATCTAGTCCTGTTTTGGTATATAATTTTGCATCCTGTATGGTTACGATCATTTTTGTATTTTGCGTTTGTGCTTTTCGATTATGGAAGATTAGTGCTAGTTTAACTCTGTGTGGCGAAGGACAACATATTGCGGTTCTTGCGATTCAAAGATACTGAAACCAATCTGTGTCTACTGTAGAGTGATTGCAATAAATAGAAAAAAAATACCCACGTTTTCACTTTTTTGTTTCTCATTCCGACAGTTGCCAGCTTGCCACCAGCATTGTTACACTGGTCCTGTGCATCAGAAAAGTCCGTCGGCCTATTTAGTATTCTATATCGGAAGCCATTGGTGGCCAAGTACCATTCCGGGTCACTCAATGCTGTAACATAAAAATGTAGATAAATGATCAAAAGTGACATAAAATTTCAGACTAGAAACACATTTTAATCACACTCACCGTTAAGTCTTGCTTCCAAAGCGGCAATTTTTGCTAAAATGTAAAAAAGAGGTGGAATAAAAGAAATTGTATTAGTTATGATCAAAACTCATAGCTTTATTTCACCAAGCAATAAATTTTATCAAGCATATCATCATGAACATTGTGTAATTTTATAAACAGTGATGAATTGCGTAATTAATTTTCTATGGCTTGTAATTGTAAATCGATAATTTACAAGCATGCACCCCAGAGTTGGAAAAAAACAGTAACATTTATTTTAAAAGGTCATTGTTTTGACGAATCTCCATCAATTGACATCGCTTAATCCAGTGGTCGGCAACCTTTTTCAAGTGACGGACCGGTAAAGCCAGACCAAAATTTTGGCGGACCACCTTTATACAAACGGACTAAGTCTATGCAATAAATTATACGCATTAGGAAATTTATGTTGACAATATACTAAAAAACGAAAGTAATGCTATTTAATGCGATATCTGTCTATATTTGTCTGTATCGAACAGGTGAGAATTGTCAGTCATTCTCTCACTTTTTTGTTCTACTCACAACGTTTACTGTCTGAATCAAATGATTATTGCTCAAACTTGAAAAATAAGTAGTGTTTATATGCTTACCGTCGTATCGTTGTCTCAAGACGGTGTCGCTTTCACCTGGTCCAGCCGGTCCCGGCGGTCCGATTGGTCCCTGAGAATATACAGTGAACATGAACAGGAAAATCGCCACTTTATATTTTATATCAGAATAGCATAGAAAATGTAATTTATGCTCAGTACAGAGTATAATAGTGCATCTCGGAGTAGCCTATATTCTATTTTCACATTCACAATTGCTTAGGGACTTGAGTGTATATAAATACTTATTTCAATTTAATTCAGATAAACTTACGCGTTTACCGGATCTTCCAGGTTCGCCTCTTAAGCCCTCTGTGCTGTTAGTGTCATATTTCACCAGGCATATTTCCTCTGAAACAAGATCAGATCAAACTGAAAACGAGAATATTGGTCAGAGACCGAAGACTTATCGATCGAAAATCAGGGGATCCCCAAAACAGCGCTCTTATTCCATAGTGACACATTGTGTTCAATTACTAATTAATTAATAACTCGCTAATTATACGACATAATTCATTCAAAATCAATAGGCTTCTGGTCCGACATATGATGAATGCACATGCAAAATCTGGAGCAGATTCAATCTCGCTTTCGCGAGATATCGCGTGCACCTAACAGACAGACAGACAGACAAATACCTATCAACATACTTACCGATTAAAATCGATAAGTAATAAGCACATAACCTCGTGATATTTACTTGTCTAGCTACAAATGAACTAATATTATAACCCCAACTAAATTGTGATCAAACATAAATTTAACGATGTATCATAAAATAAAAATTCCAAACGCAAAGCCCTAATTTATTATTTGTAACACAAAACTTAATTTAGAAAGTTCAATCACTTACCTGCATAGCCTGGTGAACATTTAGAACTTACAAACAAAAAAATCAATAGCCACATTGTCTCGCTGGCGATCTGCAACACCCTGTAGTTTATATCAAGATAGCTACAATGTAAAATTAAGGATTTCGCATTTGTTTATGCTTTTGAGTCTCTATATTGTGGGCCATGTTGTATGTTGTTGCCACTTGACTTTTTCTGCTCATTCGGAAACAATTATTTGATTTATTGCAATACACTCAGTGCCAAGATGAAAGCTATTTCTAGCATTTTTATCATTTTGCATAAACAAGTCGAAAGACTTGTGCTTTCTTCAATATATCTTCTTCGACTTGGGGGAAGCTTTTGGTCTGTGATTGATTTGTTGTTTTGTATTTGCAGCTTGCAAACACTTTTTATGACGTAAGTTGACTGTTATTCATGCGTAAATGAAGATATTGACGCATGTATGACTTGAACTAGTGAGTGGAACTAGTATTAACTTTTTATGAGAATTCTAAAGTAAGTTATCTGTGTTACATCATAACTGTATGAAAGTTACAATTAATTAATAAGTCACACTGAATCCTCTATTAGCTATTAGTCTGGCCCGTGCATATAGGCAGCGGTGGGATTCAATTTTTTGTCAGTCGGTTCCATCACAGAAGGCATATTTTTCGGCCGGTTCTGTTATATGTTTTTTTAGTAATGCTAACCGGTTCACTGATCTCATAAAATTCCGCGAGACGGTTCTATAGAACCGGTGCGAACCGGCTGAATCCCACCATTGGAAATAGGGTAATACACTTCGCGATATTACTTGGAAAGTTGCAAATGTTCCTCGATAATCACGATATTGAAAATCTTCCTCGATATTTCAAACAAGTAGTAGTAGATTATCTATCTCGATTTGTAGGGTACAATTTGGAAAACCGCACGAATTTTAACTTCGATTAAACAATGAAAAATTCATGTACGAAAATAAGTATAAAATAGGAATTTTGATTGGGAATGCATGTCGTCTTAATTTTAACTATTGAATTACAAAACGTAAATAAACTAACAGATATATTTGAAAATGCTATTGTAAACAAATTATTTTTGTTGCTGCGCAGTTAAGTTAGTTACCAGAAATTTATAATTAACCATACGCATATGTAATTCAATTTCATAGTTTGTTTCAAAGCAAATTATTTCATGCTTTTGTGCAGAAAAAGGTTGGAGAATTGCGCAATAAGAAATTGCAAACAATATATATCATATTGAGGCGCCTTCTGAGTTAGGCGTCAAAACACAAATGGAAGCACGAATATGAAAAATATCAGGGAAGAAAAATGACAGACCACACATTTTGTAATGACGATTACGTGCCCCATTATGAGAGATTCCTATTACCTTATGAGTTCAGAAGCATTTAAATGCTCCAAACATCGTTCATTTTGCTATTTTGCGCAAAGTTTCATATTAATGTCATGTTTAATATTGATGGAATCTGGTTATACAGAAGAAATCTAACATTGAAATGCTTTTTAAGAATATATTTTGTTTAGTTTTCTTAGCGTTTTTTGTGTGCTTTCAATTTTTCCGTCGCTTTTTTCATTGAAGAATTTAATGCAAAACCATATTCAAGATGTCAATTCTATCTGTTGTTACTTGGAAAACGTAATGAGCGAACAAGCATTTATTTACTAATAAATTTTACAAAAAATTAACGAGAGTAAACAGTGGCGTACAGTAAAACAGGATAAAAAAAGAATTAGCAAACTATTTTTATATTCTCGTGCTCTTGGCAGTTACCAATTTGAGTCAAAACCTTGATCTTCTTTCAGCTTTGATCTTTCAAGTAAGTTAAGGATCATAGCATAATTCTCTTGTTGCGCATACATCATCGTTGGTAATTTTGCCATAAAATATTTGTGTGCGGAGTCCAATTATTGTTGCGTTTTATTTACAATTTACTGCACTGGAAGTTTTACTGATATTGTAGCCGATATCATTAAAAAAATAAATTTCAATCTACGAAAATATAAATTCTTTTATACTTGAGCGACGCAAAATAAAATAACCTCAATTAGGACGTATCTCCAAGTTTGCGAGGTTAAAGGACCGCAAAAAATTCCTGCGGGCCACAGTCGGGAAAACCCAAAAGTGATCAACATACTGCGAGTTTGCTTACTTTATGTTTATATATATTAAAAAAATGAGAGAACTTCTAATCAGCCTATCGTTATATTGCGTGGGCGTCGTTTTCTTTTTAAGTAAGATATATAAAGCGCAAACAAATTAACAAAACAATTTATTGTTTCTTCCGTATTTTTCTCGTATTTTGTGTTGTAATGTCGCTCAAAATTATACACTTTCGTACCAGATATTACTTGAAAGCACATCAGACACTGTGGTTTACCATTGTTGTGGGCAAAAAAATACGTTTTCTCTCAGCATTCAACTATGTTTTCCTCTGTCACATTTCATTTAAAACTCATTTTCGGGACGTAGCTAAATAAAACGGGATCGCGCGACGCAAAGTCATATATGCGTTTCATCACTGCTGTAACATGGCCCCATGCTTGAAAATAGAAGTGTGTTTTACTGAAATAAAGCACAAGACGTCTCTCCAGACAAAGAGTGACGCGAGTTCAAATGTGCGAAGATCAAAAGCGCGAAGCACGAACGTTTCCAGCGTTCAATATTAAATTGAACTATATTTCAACTCTTACAGGCACGACGGCGATTGTGTAAGGCGTTTCACGAATATACTGAAATGTCATCACCTTTCTTGGATTTTGAAAACACGTTTGGATTGCTCACATCAACTCCTGACGTGACATCTTTGTAACCACGTACAAGTTTGATGTTATCTTATCATGGGTTAACTTTCAAATCAATAATTTGTTACAAGAGTACCTCAGTACAAGGAATTGCATTCTATATAGTCCGACATTACCCTAATTAACGTGATCACATTTTTTGCAACCAACTGCTTATGGTCCGAAACAATGCTCTTCGAAATAAAATATGATTTGCGGCTGCAGGCATTTGAAATACCCATATACTGTATACCGTATTAATATTTCGTGATGCGGTACCAGGCCAGTTAATAAAATGTCCAACAAACAAAAAGGAATTGTAGAGTATGTACTATTTGGCTATTGATCTACTTGGCTATATTGGATTTCAAATTGGTCCGTGCGATCATTTTCTTTATTAATGAAAATGTGCTGGGACACAAGCTGCATTCATATTGCTCCATAACAAAGGTCTGACCTTTGACAATGTGATTATCAGAATTATTCAAAATGTGATTTAATTGAAATGCATACTTATATAAGTATTAGAGAAACGTATGTTGTTGTCAAATTTACCCCAAAGCATCATGCATAGCGCAAAACAAAAACCACATAGAACACTTCGATATGCCGATGAAAATTCTTCAATATTCTTCATTTGTGACTATGAACTAGTTAGGTACACTTACGTGCTTTGGCACCTACAGCAATTTGCACTAGGACTGGGCGTTTCGACGGCGCTGTTCAGACTTTCAAAAAGCAAATTATGACGTCATAGCATGTGCAAATTGGAATTCGCCGAGGTATCACGATTTGATTCTTTCCTTTACACGTAGAAAATTGTGAAATTTCACTTGCACAGTCTGTCTTCGTATTATTCTCGTGTTATTTGGTCACTGTTCTGTCAATATGCAGAAATTTTTGTGGAAATAATCACTTACACGAGGTGCTTTGCATTAACATTTCACGCTCTCGAAATACCTTCAAGTGTTTTCTTTTTGTGGATCAAAATTTAATCCTTGAAAATATCTTCTACTATACATTGAATTCGATGTGTAATAATGGTGTCATGTTTTATTGTTTGTGACGACTAACTTGTGCTTCGTGTCGTGTCGATTTCGTTTCGAATATCAAATTTCGTTTCGATTTCGAAACACCAGTGTGTCGAAAATGTCCAACCCTATTTGTATCCATGGACATCTGCACCCACGTATATTTGCACCCACGGATGTTTGTACAAACAGACCTAACAATTTGAAATTATATCTGATGAGGTATTCAAACATTTTTCCCCAGCGAGATTTATTGCTTGTATAGAATTCTAACATGAATTTTCAGTTTTCCTGTGATTCATTTTTGCTAGGCTGATATCTGGAACACTTTTAAGTATCATTGTAACCATATTTTTTCTCGAACTCGAATACTCCATTTTCTTTACTTGGCCCACTAATATTTTTCTCACGAAATCGACAATTCACATATGCGTGTATTCTTCTTTATTATATCATTCAAAAGTTACCAACCTCTTGAAAGGTAGATAATAATTTGTTTAATTTGTATTGAAATGAATGGAGTCATATTAAAAAGTGAATATATGGTCTAAAATTGACGCGTCTTTGCTGCGTAATCCTATAGGACGAAAACGGCATCAAAAAGTCTTCAACGGGGAATGTCATCAAAGTAACATGTATACTGCGTTTGTTCCGCCAGCTCCTTCCCCATCTTGAGCACAGGCGTTTGATGATCCGTATTTCCCATATACTTTGTGGGCGTTTTCTGAAGTCGCACACCTGATAAATGTATAAATATGCATAGTAACAAATACAATTTATCGAAGGGGATTTCGAAATCAGATCAAAGGACTACTTGAAACAAAAAAAATTTCAAAAAACCATGTTTATATAAACTATATGATTCCTGGAGTTGTGTCGCAGTAGTTTCTGTTTTAAAATAATCTGGTAACTAATGGACCAATCAGTTTTGTCGTATTTTCAGTACTTACGGACTGAACGAAGTCGCCAAAGGATTAGTGCTTCTTCGCAAGCGGAGAGGAGATATTTGGTCAGTTTCTAGCTTTTGAACTTAAAAAGGCAATGAAATGCGTATTGGGTAGCACGAATACATCCGAAAAAGATAAAGTCCGTAGAAAAAGCAGACAAATGTAACAAGTAATTTGGTAATTATTTAAAAACTCGGGATAAATGTTACTGGCAAAGCGCTCAACTTCGTATGTTTATATGAAATTTTCAAAACGCTTGAAAAAATGAAGCGTTTTTTTACTAATATATAATAGTATTTGGGAGAACTATTAATCCACCAGTTGTATACAATATGCCTATTACTATAAAAGTGTTTTACCATCCACCATCCTGTATCACAAATACTTTATATCCCAGGCACGAAGCAACTTTTGCACACTTTTCTATAGCATTGGTTCTAGATTTATAGCTTCCGGAAACAGTCGGAAATTTATCTTCAACTGGTGCAACTATACGATTTCCTTTCCACGGTTTTTCTTCATTGTAACAGCCGAGATACACGTAATCCGCCGCTAGAAGATAAGTGAAATAAAGGCTTTTTTAATTTAAATAAACCTAATTTCGTCGTCTACAAAAGGAAATGGTTGTAGAACTATACCGAAAATTAAAGAATGAATTATGGGTTGCAGGGTTAGTGTTGAGCCATAATTTTAGGTACAAATACTGTCACTTGGCTAGTCCCCGAACTCGTAATAGAACTAAAAAAGGACGTTGGAATAAAATTATGGTCTGACCCTAAACTGGTACACATACGACGGTCCGATGTCCGCCATCGTGGTTCACGTTCTACGGGAGTATCATTAAAAGAACATTGAAATGTAACACTGGTATACTTACGTTCGGTATTCCATTTATTTGTGCATGTCGCTGTAGAAGAAACTTCCGATCCTCCTGTGAATGAACAAAATATATTTGAGCGCTTTTCTCTGGGACTCTATCAGAATAACAATCGCCAACTTAAAAATCCCAATGCATTTGAATATCAAGTAAATTGCAAATGTGGAAAAAAAGGCAAATTTTATAAATCAAAAACTAATAGGATCCTATGCGGAGTGTGTTCTGTAATTTTCAATATTATCCAATTTTTGTATACCGGTACGTAACGTATGTCAAATCTCAGTCATTTCACTCGTATTTATTCCTTTTGTGGCACGGTTGAGAGTGAATCTCTGAAGTTAGGAAGAAAAATGAAGATTTTTTAACATGAGCTTGAATTTTATCTAACGAGGCGATTCTCGTCCAAACCTCATTATTTATACTCACCATCTCCAAAGCAATAATCCTGAAGCACGGTATTTAATGCCCCGCACTTCTTTTGGCGCGATAGTCCGTCGTGACTGAAGGCAAAATCTGACAGCAGCAGCAGGCTGGTATATATAAAGATTCTTGCTTTCATTGCTTCAGTTGGGTTTTATGTGGAAAAGGTAAAGTATTCTTATTCCCAATCATACTTGGAATGCTTGATAAAAAAGTGATAATGAAAACGTTATGCACAATTCTTGCCAGCAAACTATTGGTTAGTTTACAACTTTACGGTTTATATCTTGATGTTTTTTTTTTTATTAAACACGAAATGGTCTAACCGTTAAGAGAACCGTAAAGAGAAAAGTGATTTTTGCACAACAACATAATCCCATAACGATCCGTTAGACTCCAACGGATCGTTATGGGATTATGTTGTTGTGCAAAAATCACTTTTCTCTTCAACTACTCGAACAATTTCTTTGTGTTACAAGATTATACCTTAGTTTTTCACAGAGTCTATGAGAAGACAGGGGCAAAGTACGGCCCGTTGGGTAATTCAATCGGGCCCGCCTGATGCTGCCACAACCAAACTGAAATCAAATTTTGATGTTTCAGCTAAAATAGCTCAAGGAATTTGTTGAGATTGCGGTTAAATTTAGTTTTGGCACCGAGGCACATTGTTTTTCATCTTTGCTTTGTAACACTGTAAATATTGTTCATAAAATGTGACTTTTTACGTCACACTTACATGGCCCACCAGTCTACATAAGCAAGATTGGTGGCCCCCTGGTTCAAAACCTTGCCCACCCCTGGACAATGAGACATATACGCACTTGGTGTTCGTACATATATACACCATATACGTGGGTTCCATTACATTTGAACCCACGTACATTTGAACCCATGACAATTGCACTTGCATACTATTGCACCTATTGATATTTTTGTTTGTTTTACAGATATTTGAACCAATACTCACCCTGACCCATGGGTTTTAGCATATATACGCATATATACATCTATATTTGCGCATTTTCTATCTGTTGTTTAGCGATGCATTGTTTTTGTTCGTACATTGTTTCAATCGCATTTCCCAATACTCTGAATCGAAACCTATCCATAAAAGAAACATTATAGATCTTGTCATCAGCCCGCAAAGTTGCAATAGGCACAAGTTGTAGCTTAATATACACGCCAGGTCGCTAGTTCTCCTTATATAATTTTCGTTCCGTATAAATTTATGCCACGAACGAGATTGGAGTTTTTCAATTGGCTACCTACCTCTTCAATATTTATAAGAAAATTTTGACGGTGACATTTACCAGAATTTTCGTGATGTGACACCGTGCCGGAACAAAACTCCGTGAAACAGAAATAACCTTTGGGCGGCCTGACGTCTAGACACGCGATATACTTGCTCGCTGAATTTGTAAAATGCAATGATTTTCTTCAATATCGAGTCGCATTCCCACTGCGGCTTATCAAATGTCTAATCACGAAGTATATATAGCAATTCATTATTCAAAAAATGCGCATGAGTAAAATCTATTACAATATACATACATACACATGTATGCACTATAGGAAAACATCATTTTTGATGTCGATTTTAAAAAATGGATATATTTTTTGTTGCTTCTTTTAATTTTGGTTACTACTAACTAAATAGTCAGTGTCTGGAACATTTTTTACGTAGCATCCGCACCTACCATCGACACAGGGCCGAAAAAATAAGTATAATTTCAACTATCATTGCTAGCGATATTTTTTCCTCGAGCTCGAATATTCATTTCCCTTATTTAGCCTACTAACATTTTCCGTAATGAACCGATACTATTCACTTATGCTTGAATTCCACTTTATTATCTCATTTAAAAGTTAACAGCCTCCTGAAAAGTAGACAAGAGAGCTATGCTCACATATATGGACACCTAATGGCAATAATTTTGATGACGTCATAGCAACAACAAAAAGAGTAATAGCCTTCTGAAGAAAATTTTTATCTTTTATCACTGAAAATTTCAAAGCAATTGGTCCAGTAATCAAAGAGAAAAGCGACTTTTTAGAAACGTGTTAAAGAACAAGAACAACAACCTAATATTGAAACGATCGCTATGTCCACTACGTGTCCAATAATAATTTGTTTAATTTGTATTGTAATCAAGGGAGTAAAATTAAAAACTGAATATGTGGTGAATACGCTTTTTAGACCCCAAAAACTCTCGAAAACCCACCTTTTTCGACAACCAGCCGGACCCGCTAGCTGATAGAAGTCTTACTTGGAAATTAGAAATTTCAGAACCGATTCTGAATTCCTGAATACGCCTCTGCGGATAACCTTCATGGCCATATTCGAAACAACATAAAATTGCACCGGCATGCTTTTTGACCCACGAACAGACATTTTATTTTCACATATAGTTTTATACAGTATATAATTCTTACCACCCGCTTTCCGAATTCACCATAAACATTGGTCATCTTCACCGGCAAAATTTGGCGTCTCAAGCAAAATTTCCTTGTCCCAGTCTAGATCACCTGGGTTAGTTTTGAAAACGCCATCTGATCTGCTACCGAGTAAATGAATATACGCATAACTAATTACCTAATAACTCGCTAATTATACGACATAATTCATCCAAAATCAATAGGCTTCTGGTCCGAGATACGAGAATACCGATCGTATACCGAAGACTTATCGATCAAAAGTTACTTACTTACTCTTATTCCACAGCGACACAGCGTGTCACATCACTAATTAATTATTAACTCGCTAATTATACGACATAATTCATCCAAAATCAATAGGCTTTTGGTCCGAAATATGATGAATGCACATGCACAAATTTGGAGGTGATTCAACCTCACTTTCGTGAGATATCGCGTCAATCTAACAGACAGACAAACAAACAAATACCTATCAATATACTTACCCATCAATATCAATAAGTAATGAGTCAAGTGGCGTAAGACGTAAACAACTTGCTTGGCGTAACTAATACTTTCGTGAGTTACTCGTTCTCTATTTTTCTCTTATCTATGTTTAAATATTGTTACTTTATGCAGCAATTACGTAACCAAACTGCGGGCCACATTCGGCCCGCAAGGAAAAAATGTGCGGCCCGCGGGAAAGTGTCAATTTTAAATGGTGTGCCCGCGTAAGATTTTTTAGTTTAGTTAATATGGTACGTGCGAGCATTTGCAATCCCTTTGCGTCGCAAAAAGCTTGTACAAGTGCCTGAGTGCCACTGCCATATTAGCAAAACCAGCTAACGAAATACACGATGTTACAAGAACGTGTTTCTTCCTGAATTCGTTTAATGTCGGTTTAACAATAAATTTAAATAGCAGTTCTCTTAAGAAATTTATGCGTTTTAACTCACCATTTTTGAAAGGACCCCTAACAATGCCGTAAGATCCATAGCAAAAAAAAACAATCTTTTGTGCCTAAAACTACTAGAAAAGCTATCTTAAAAGAAGGTGCGGGCCGCGGCTTCACCCAGATACTTGTATTTGACCCGCCTGTTACGTTGTAAACGTACGTTTGTCGTATATTTTGCCACTGTATGCAGTGCATCCCAGCTCTGCCTTGTATCCAATCATTGTAGACCCATTATTACCCTTTTTTCCCTTTGTTTGTAGCGTAAATTAGTATTATTATCTATCGTCTGATTTAGCGTTTTCCTTTCGGTCATTTGCATCACGTATTCGTCGTGTAAAGAGTCGCAGATATTTGTCTGTATTGTGGACTGTTTATTTATCTGTTATATATTGTAATTGTATTAGCCTCCCGGATCGGAAAACGTTTGGTGAGAAATTTGCCTTTTGTTGTTGTTATATGCTTTGACTTATGTTAATCAATTGTGTTTTATTCATTTAAGAAAACCGCTGTTCTTTGCCAAGTATATAAAGAAGAAGTGATTTATGCACGTTTCTTGTTTGTGGACAAAGGGGCTGAGAGTGGCGCGTTCGATACGTTTTCATTGTGTCTCGTCGATATAGATTCCGGGCTATCAAAAGACGACATAAAAGTTTTCAAACGATTTCAAGTCTGCAAACATGATTTGTGAAGTTTTCAATGATATTAACGTTAATACCAAAATTCTCAAGTTTTCAACCAAAGGGTTTCAAACATTAATTCGGGTTCTCATTTGAACCCACGTACATTTGAACCCATGACAATTGCAGCTGCATACTATTGCACCTATTGATTTTTTTGTTTGTTTTACAGATATTTGAACAAATACTCACACTGACCCATGGGTTTTACCACCCACATATAGATTGAACCCGCGGATATACGCATGGGTTCAAATGTACGTGGGTTCAAATGTACGGTCACCTATACGTGTTGTGGTATGCTGCATAATCGAACTATTTGCGCATTTTCTATCTGTTGTTTAGCGATACATTGTTTTTGTTCGTACATTGTTTCAATCGCATTTCCCAATACTCTGAATCGGAACCTATCCATAAAAGAAACATTATAGATCTTGTCATCAGCCCGCAAACTTGCAATAGGCACAAGTTGTAGCTTAATATACACGCCAGGTCGCTAGTTCTCCTTATATAATTTTTGTTCCGTATAAATTTATGCCACGAACGAGATTGGGGTTTTTCAATTGGCTACCTACCTCTTCAATATTTATAAGAAAATTTTGACGGTGAGTGACATTTACCAGAATTTTCGTGATGTGACACCGTGCCGGAACAAAACTCCGTGAAACAGAAATAACATTTGGGCGGCCTGACGTCTAGACACGCGATATACTTGCTCGCTGAATTTGTAAAATGCAATGATTTTCTTCAATATCGAGTCGCATTCCCACTGCGGCTTATCAAATGTCTAATCACGAAGTATATATAGCAATTCATTATTCAAAAAATGCGCATGAGTAAAATATATTACAATATACATACATACACATGTATGCACTATAGGAAAACATCATTTTTAATGTCGATTTTGAAAAATGGATATATTTTTTGTTGCTTCTTTTAATTTTGGTTACTACTAACTAAATAGGCAATGTCTGGAACATTTTTTTACGTAGCATCCCATTGACTCGGGGCCGAAAAAATGAGTATAATTTCAGCTATCATTGCTAGCGATATTTTTTTCTCGAGCTCGAATATTCATTTCCCTTACTTAGCCTACTAACATTTTCCGTAATAAACCGATACTATTCACTTATGCTTAAATTCCACTTTATTTTCTCATTTAAAAGTTAACAACCTCTTGAAAAGTAGATAATAATTTGTTTAATTTGTATTGTAATCAATGGAGTAAAATTAAAAACTGAATATGTGGTGAATACGCTTCTTAGACACCAAAGACTCTCAAAAACCCACCTTTTTCGACAACCAGCCGGGCCCGCTAGCTGATAGGAGTCTTGCTTGGCAATTAGAAATTTTAGAACCGATTTTTAGAAATTTCAGGATTCGCCTCTGCGGATGACCTTCATGGCCATATCCGAAACAACATAAAATTGCACCAGCATACTTTTTGACCCACGAAAAGACATTTTATTTTCACATATAGTTTTATACAGTATATCATTCTTACCACCCGCTTTCCGAATTCACCCATAAACATTGGTCATCGTAACCGGCAAAATTTGGCGTCTCCGGCAAAATTTCCTTGTCCCAGTCATAGTTCACCTGGGTTAGTTTTGAAAACACCATCTGATCTGCTACCGAGTAAATATATATACGAATAACTAATTACTTAATAACTCGCTAATTATACGACATAATTCATCCAAAATCAATAGGCTTCTGGTCCGAGATACGAAAATATCGGTCGTATACCGAAGACTTATCGATCAAAAGTTACTTACTTACTCTTACTCCACAGCGACACCGCGTGTCACATCACTAATTAATTATTAACTCGCTAATTATACGACATAATTCATCCAAAATCAATAGGCTTTTTGTCCGAGATATGATGAATGCACATGCACAAATTTGGAGGTGATTCAACCTCACTTTCGTGAGATATCGCGTCAATCTAACAGACAGACAAACAAACAAATACCTATCAATATACTTACCCATCAAGATCGATAAGTAATGAGTCGAGTGCCGTAAGACGTAAACAACTTGCTTGGCGTAAATAATACTTTCGTGAGTTACTCGTTCCCTATTTTTCTCTTATCTATGTTTAAATATTGTTACTTTATGCAGCAATTACGTAACCAAACTGCGGGCCACATTCGGCCCGCAAGTAAAAAATGTGCGGCCCGCGGGGAAGTGTCAATTTTGAATGGTGTGCCCGTGTAAGATTTTTTAGTTTAGTTAATATGGTACGTGCGAGCATTTGCAATCCCTTTGCGTCGCAAAGCTTGTACAAGTGCCTGAGTGCCACTGCCATATTAGCAAAACCAGCTAGCGAAATACACGATGTTACAAGAACGTGTTTCTCCCTGAATTCGTTTAATGTCGGTTTAACAATAAATTTAAATGCCAGTTTTCTTAAGAAATTTATGCGTTATAACTCACCATTTTTGGAAGGACCCCTAACAATGCCGTAAGATCCATAGCAAAAAGAAACAATCTTTTGTGCCTAAAACTACTAGAAAAGCTATCTTGAAAGAAGGTGCGGGCGCGGCTTCACCCAGATACTTGTATTTGACCCGCCTGTAATGAAGGTTGCACAACTCTGCTGCGTTGGAATAGTGCAGCAAATGGGTAACATATAGAACAGCTGACAGCTAGCATAATAGGTGGGGTTTCGAAAGTTGTGTGTTAAATTTATACATCGGTAAATATGTCGCACTCCTTCGTTTTGTCATTCTTGTTCATATTTTTCAGCATTGCTCTCTTGTATAAATTGTAATTACCATTACTAGATAGAATTTTCCAGGATGATCAAAATGTGGCAATCCCAACCAATACCTATGATATGTATATATCAGTGATATTTCAGTATTTTCGCATAGTTTAGTTAAAAAGTCAGTACACATGTAGTATGCGAACCAAGATGGCGGATACCGGAACGTAGTATGTGTGCCAGGTTAGGGTTAGGCCATAATTTTATTCCAATTTTCCTTATTTTAGTTTTATTAGAATTCGGGGATTAGCCAAGTGACTCCCGTACTATTTGCACCTGAAATTATGGTCTAACCCTATCAACGTTCCGATGTCCGCCATCTTGGTTCGCATACTACAGGAGTACCAATGGGACTAAGTTAACTTAAAATCTATTTTGAACAGTATTTCGACAACCATTCACTTTTTCGTGAGTCATTGCTCAACCTTTCTTTGTAGCTCGGTTTATTGGAATTTACTTATTTTTGAATACGTAAGCTATTAGTTTACCGGACCTCCTGAAGTATGCGTACCAAGATGGCGCACAACCTGAACTCAGGGTCTTCAGGTTCTTTGACACTTTTTGGACACCTAGTGGAAATATTAAAAACGGCTTTTCTCTTTGATCACTAGACCAATTGCTTTGAAATTTTGAGTGGTTAAAGATAAAATTTTTCCCCAGAAGGCTATTACTTTTATTCATTTAAAATATTTCTGTTAGCTCTGTGAGATTTGGTTTTGTTTGCTATGACGTCATTAAACGTTCTGCGGACATCGGACGCCATTTTGTGTCCTACTGTACTGCTTCGCTTGGTGTGAATATATTTGTAGACTGTGATCTGACGGTACGGTAAACCGTACTGTACTGCGAGCAGACGTGTCCATATATTTGAGCGTAGCTCTCTTGTGTTGTTCTTATTGGACACGTAGTGGACATAACGATCGTTTCAATATCATGTTGGTCTTGTTGTTGTTCTTTGACACTTTTTGGACATCTAGTGGAAATATTAAAAAACCGCTTTTCCCTTTGATCACTGGACCAATTGCTTTGAAATTTTGAGTGGTTAAAGATAAAATTTTTCCCCAGAAGACTATTACTTTTATTCATTTAAAATATTTCTGTTAGCTCTGTGAGATTTGTTTTTGTTTGATTAGACGTCATTAAACGTTCTGCGGACATCGGACGCCATTTTGTGTCCTACTGTACTGCTTCGCTTGGTGTGAATATATTTGTAGACTGTGATCTGACGGTACGGCAAACCGTACTGTACTGCGAACAGACGTGTCCATATATTAGGGCGTAGCTCTCTTGTTTTATTATAGATGCCATGAGATATCACACATGCTATACATAACACGCATACAAATGGTTATATAATATTTTTTTATTTTTGTTCATAACTTTTCATGCAGTATGACTATAATATGTTGTGCTATATCTAGAACTCTAATGAGAATGAGCCGATTCATTGAGTTGTGTTTGTTAATTTAACGGCAATTAGGCCCAGTCAAAAAACGAAGCAATTTATGTGGCAATAACGAATTCGCAGGGGTAGAGATGTGGTTTAAAACTTTATGTGACAAATAGTTTATCTTTCACACAAAGCTCTTTGGTCATATGTACATCTACTATCATGTATCTTTCCATTTCTATCTTGAATAACTGCACAATCTTCTCGTTGTTGATAATCGTCTGGTTGTCCATCAAACCAGTCAGTATTAAATGATGTTGACAGTACACCATCTTGCCACATCCACTCCCCTTCTTCCTTCAGGTCATCCAAACCAATCCATACTGCGACCGCTCGTTTCTTGATGAGATTTTCAATTAGATATCTGAAAAAAGTACAAAAGTTTTGATTTTGTATCACATTTAAAAATATTTAAATATAGAAAAGAGAGAATGGTTAAAATAGGAAAAGTACAAGTGCACGGGGAGAGATAAACACCGTACTTACTTTCGAGTTTTTTGATCTCTAATACCAACAGTGGCGACTGAAGCTAATTTTTCGCCGCAAACCGTCTTTGCTCCTTCGTAATTCACGTTCCCACTAATCCAGTACTGATACCCATTTGGGGCGCTCACCCAACCAAATATGTCAATTTTCTTTTCAGGTTGAAATGGTCCGACTGTATGATCAAAATGCAAGTTTTTTATCACATACCCTCAAAGAAAGTAATTGTTGATATTCGCCAACAAAAGGAGAAAATATCGTTATATTCATTATGTAAAATAATGTGTGGTGCGGTAAAAGTTACTAATTTGCAAAGCGCTGCATAAAATTACTCGAAGCATTTGATTGCGTATCTGTATAATTGCAATGGTTCGTCTGTACATTGGATGTGCAAAAATGCAGGCGATAACTTGAACTGTCTTCAAATTTGGTTATTTTTACGATGAGTATACATGCATTTACCTCCTGGCTTTGTACTTGGTTTTTCTCCTGGTACATTCTCGCGAATAAGAGCTAAAAGTCGTAATAAACATAATTGTCAGCATTAGAAATGTGTTCTAATCATGTCAGGATTGTGACATTTGGTTGAACCAAATATCAAAAATAGTCGATGAATATCGGCCCTGGTATAATTTAATCCTATATTCACAGTTGTTTACAAATGTCTATACGGTATAACTTCATATATATGTGACATTTTACCAGAATTGAAATTTTTGTTGTTAGTGAATAACTATTACGAATATATTTTATATGCTATAATAACCATTTAGTGTACATCAACATTTTTTGCGAATTTATCGCAAAAGAAAAATGAATAGTTGAAATATTGTAATATATTCTAGCAGTTGATTAATTAGGCCCTCAAATAACAATGCTTAAAAGTCTTACTTCGCATCTGTTTTTCCAACTTTGCAATGCGTGCTGAAGAAAAAATAGAAATGTCAGGGATATACAGAGTATTGTATAAAATCGGAAAGTTTTAACAAATTTGTTTATATAGTTTCCAAATTGCAAAGAAGTCGTGAAAACCCACACGACACTTGAAATGTATTAAGGCATTATATTTTCGAGTCTACAAAATGGTGTATGATATATCATCTGCATCAAGTGATGTCATCGTACGTCATTTTCGTACTCATAAAGAAATGAAAATGACGGCACTGCTCAATAGCCTATTAATTCGCACAATAGCACATGGATACACGACCGTGACTGATTTCGAACTCTGTCAGCTTCACTACTTAATATACGATTTATCAAACTTGATTGTCCCGCTAAACATTTCAAAAGCAAATTCAGAGCCTGGCATGTGTAACAGAAACATTTAACAGTATTTTAATCCTAGATTGAATTGAACATAGAACTATACTTTTTTAAATGAACACGTCGTCAATTGACAGACAATTATTAAATGTTATCAGCTGTTGCTATTTTGTATTGTGAAAATAGGCTACACGACAAGTATAGTAGGTTTTATTGCACCTTCTACAGTAGCATTAACTGTGATATCTTCTTCTGGTTCGGACAGAGGCATCGCTGCCAAAACATTCGAGACCATCGTTATTATGTCTTCATCACTCGGACTTTCTCCTGGGGCACCGGGTGGCCCTGGTGGGCCGATATCTCCAGGGACTCCCGCTTTTCCATCTTTCCCATTGTCCCCTCTAAAACCACGCGGCCCTCTTATTCCTTTATCTCCCCTTGGGCCGGGTGGCCCTGGAGGTGGGTTCTTTGGCTATGAAAATGTTGATTTAAGGTTTTTATTATATTAATTTTCTAATACCTCGCAAAATTTATTTATTCGTCGAAATGAATCCGTTTTAATAAACTTTACAAACTTTATTCGCAAGAATTGGTAGGGTAATGACACAAAAGTGTATTAGGAAAATCTATTAACTCCATATATTCTGTTGAAAATCCAGTTATGGTACTCTACCCTTAGTATATCACAGAGACAAAAGTTTATCACAGATCTAATAGCCTACATGGTACTTGGGATGAGCTAATTAGAAAGATCGATTTGAAAAAATACAACTCTCATTAAAAAATGTGACTATACACCGTGCACGTGAGCATGTGAATGCGTCATAATCAGCATGTATATACCCTATAGGGCAGGCCTGCACAACTCAAATTACCACGAGGGCCGCAAGCATATATCTAAAGGCCCGGCGGGTCACAAACTTTGCCACATACATATTTCACAAAATGAACTACAAATCAAAATAATATTGTGAAACAGTTAAATTCAATAAATCCAAATTTATTTATTTAGTCAAATACCATTATTGGATATTTCCATTGTAGGCTAGACAAACAATTCATTTAGTACCAATAGATCTTTCTTTTTTTGTACTTTTTTGACTGATAAATTACATTTTTCTACAAAACCTGCTCCAATTTATTTGAAATAATACAATAATCATACAATAATACAATGATGAATACAATCAATACAATAATACAATAATGAAATAATAGCAATATCTTTTGTGCGAGAATTTCTGCACCATTCATAAATGGAGGAATTGTTTTTTAAGTTCTAAATTTGAATCAAAAAAGAAACTTCAGTTTCATAAACTGCTAGTAAAAAGTAAAGGGTTATTAATAGGTTGCCTTGAGATATCTAAACCAGGGTTTCTCAAACTTCGAGGGGTCGAGAGACAAATTTTTGGGGTCGCGAAGGTCACAACAGTTTCACAGAAAGTTCGATATTTATTGAAACTAGTGCAAAACAAAAATCTCACAATTTCGAATATGATCGGGGTAGCGGCGCGCTTGCATAACAATGCCGGCTTTGATTGTTTGACCCGAGAAGTGGCGTGTTTCCAAATCACCCGCGGGCCGCACAGAAGTAGCTAGCGAGCCGTATGTTGTGCAGGCCTGCTATAGGGCCTACATAATTCAATAGATTTTCGAGTAAATCTGGCGTAGTTCCAGAAACGTACCCGCAATATTTGATAATTATTGAGTAGCAAACTAGATTTATTTTAATATTCACCTCAAGCCCAAAATTGATTCCACTCCATTCAGCTTTCATTCTTGATGTAGCAGGGTCGTAACATATCTCAGTGGTGGCACAAGTGTTTTCTGAATTGAAGGAATAATAAAAATAAACGTCATTTCAATAACGACGTTCCTGTATTTTCGCTCATAATTGAATACTTTACAATTGTAATCTGTCTGGTGGTTAGTATCGCTCCCCCGGTCTTTACCATAAACATTGTTTATTTATTTGTATTTATGCTTTCATATTTATATTTGTTTTGGTTGACGAATCAATAAATCTCTCTCCCTCTCTATATTGTTAGCGCAGATAAGTGATAAAGTCTGAGTCATGGATTAGTATAAATAGATTCGTCGATTCGAACCCCGTGGTCTGCTGTAGAAAATGATTTCACACGAGTGGATCGTTGGACTTCTCGACACCTCGAATTTGTTTGCGACTCAACAAGTTAACTATATATTGACTGGTAACATGGCTTGACATGAGATATAACTTAACAACAGCTTAACATACATCCATTTACAAATACGTAAATCCTATCCCAACAAAATCTATAACAAATATAGTACGGCCAAGAGATTTCGACTTTTTTGTTAGTTCGTCAGACGTTGCTAATCAAATCGGATCAGTATAAAAATTAAATTTTTTTATTTTTTCTAGGAATCAGTTCTCAGAAAGTCATTTTCTGGCTGCATACAGAATCCGATTTTTTGTAATAATATATATATAACTTACCCCGAGCAGAAGTTCCAATCACAACGACCCCAAGAAGGAAAATGGCCTGGTAGACGTTCATACTTGCTCAGGCGGATGCAGTTTCTGAATAAATGCCGAATATCTTCTGCGACAATCTCTGCTTTGGTTTATCAAAAAAACTTTTTGTGGTTTTAAAATTATGTAAAGTTTGCCCGGGAGCATCTTCTGATAATGTAGCGGTAAGATCAAACACATTTTAATGGATAGATATCGGTTGCAATGCTTTCAAGTGTTATTTTATCCGAGAGGGATTGATATTAGATAGTGGCCGAAACCGACATGCAAGACGTCATGATGGGTTGTGGCATGTAAATAAAGTATCCACAATTTATTCAAACGATAGAATAAAATGAACAGAATCGAATAAAAATTATATAAATTCCTAATTCAGAGACAATGCCGAAGTTACCTAGGGCAATTCTGTTATTTTGAATCCACATGCGATCTACACAATAAAAAACGACTATTTACATCTTACCATATCATGACTCCATTATGAAAAGAATGAACGAAAGCACAAATCGAATGATCTAAATTTTATTCATTTATCCCTTTGTTTCAGTGGGTAAAAAGTAAATTTAAACTTTCGATCACCAATAATTTGTACGTTTTTGATCGAATTTTGAATATCTGGGTATTTTGTAGTAGTTAGGTTAAAATATATATACAAGGCGTCGGCAAACTTTTCTCGTTCGCGGGCCGAAATTAAAGGTTGCAAGTCATTGGCGGGCCGAAAATATTTTTAGAGAGTTAAAAACCGAGGGAATGGCCAATGAATCACATTTTTTCATACAGATTTCAGTTAAATTTTAAGCAGCGCGCGAAGACTGATCATTTAGATATTTTCTGCGTCGTTAAACCATTTGCACTCTGTTGCCATTTGTCCAACTATAAGCAATTTATAGGCTCATTTAAACGACTGATTGTGAATTATATACTTGTTGGGTTATAATATAATTTAGTGTCTCAAAACAAATTCTGTTACGTAAAGAATATAATCGTCAATACAGTTGTTTTGTTAATATAATTCAGTGAAGCGTCGCGGGCCGGATTATATTGTTCCGCGGGCCGAATATGGCCCGCGGGCCGTAGTTTTCCGCTCTCTAATCTACACGGATATGTTAAAATTTCTGACCAAACTCCAATAAAACGATTTTTTTATCATTTTGGGCTCAAAGTTTAATTTTTAACCTATTTTCAATCGACTGATACAAATTTACGGTTTTCGATGGGGAAATTGCATCGGAAGTTTGAACTTTTATTTGCGGCTCAACAAACTTTCACCAAATTGAATAATTATCTCAGGTAACATATGACGATAAAATTGCTGCTGTGTGAACCGTCATGTCATATACCCGGACTTTGAGAACCTTTCCTATTGTCCCATGCATATTATTTGGTAAACTATTTGTCGCTGATCCAGATAATTCATTCGTATATTCTTCCTGCAATGACAAACTTCAATCTCTTACTCATGTATTCAGTAGACGATTTTTACATATTTCAGTGTTACCGGTAAATATTTTTTTTTTCATTTGTTTTATATATTTTTTACTAAGTAATTGATTTTATGTCGCGCTTTTTTGTCTTCTGATCTTATTATGCCTCCGTGATTGTGTGTGCGTGCTTTAATTCGTTTTAATACTTTTGGGTGAAAAAAGACAATACAACAACAATATAAATAAATATGGAATAAATGGCACAGCCAGTTGTAATTAGACCAAACTCTGACTCCGTTCCACCATCTAACAAAAGCAATTAGATTTCCTTCCAAGAAGCAATTTTATAACGCATAAATTTAGTGTGCAAGCATAATGCTCCAGTTTCGAATTTCTGCTGGTGTTCTTGGATCCATCGGAGACTCTTGGCGACCAAGCAACCCAGTAAACCAATCGTGTGAGTTCCAGCGACCACACACAGCCACAAGTCTAACAGAAATACAGACAAACTATATGCTAAAATTTCATATTTATTATTGGTAAACCATAGATGAAACAGTTGGGAGCACCTGTAAGATGCATTCGTATCACCCTAGGAGCACCTGTAAGATGCATTCGTATCACCCTATTCAGTTGCTAAACACACAATACTCTGAAATTAGAATTGAAAACAGGATAAAACACAGGAAACGAACATGTGAAAACCCTATCCTATCAGATTCTACATTTTATTTTAAAGAAAATGGAGCCTATAAAAGAGTGCTTAGTTGAATACCAACGAAAGGACACGACATTATATTAAAGAATAGGTCAGAAACATTGCAGAAAATTATGAATTAGATGTTATACTGGTCTTATCCCATAGCATCAAGTTAGAGCCTTGACAATTTGAACATTTGCAACTTGATCGAGTTAATTTCCGCACAGCGCACCAATCCTAGATAAACAATTTCAGTAGCAGCAATAAGTTGAATATTATTTGATTTAGTGCTCGTATATATCTTTTCATTTTTTCTTATTTTGACTTGGCGTATTGAATTTAATGAATAATATGTCTCCATCGTCCACCACATATTGCTTGCCTTGTTGTCTGTATTTACCACCGGCCTGAAAAGAATTGTTGATGCTGATTAAAATTAAGATCACAAAATACCAACAAGACATCAATAATTCTCTTCTCTCAAATCCTAAGTAGAAAACTCTTGAATACCCGGATTGGAGTTTCAAACATGTCTATATCAAGAGCATAATATTCACCCCAGAGGTTTGCATCTGAGTAACAGACATGGAAAATTGCAATGACAAGGTTTTGCACCAAATTTTACCAGTTTACTGTAAAGGCACCCGCTATACAATAGAAACCAAGATGTATTAAACAAGAATAGCTTATTATGAATGACTAGGCATAAAAATAATGGGATGCAACATGCAAGAGCATCAATTGCGGTCTTGATGGAATATCTACTCCGTCATCGAGATATAACTTAGCGATCTTAACAGCAGCATGATATGTCATACAAACTGAAATTTAACCTTGCAAGCAGATTCCGATCCAAGTTCTTTAAAATCTGCAAATTTCATAACTTCAGCCATGATGAATCCTTTCTCCATATCAGTGTGAATTCTACCAGCAGCTTGGGGTGCTTTTGTCCCAAATTTTATTGTCCATGCTTTCACCTGGAATGTCGGATATAACAATATATTAACATTAATTCAAGATGTACTGGTAATTAGCAAGTTATTTGACCGTATTTTTGGTGCTCCAGAAGTACGTGTACCAATATGGTCGTAACTAATTTTGTTCGCCTACTTTAGATCCAAGTTGTGAAAAGGGGGGAAAACCTATGGGCAGGGGTATATTCACTCGTCTAATAACACAGACAGTCTGTTAACTCGGAATTGAACTAAAATAAGGAAAATCTTAATAGAATTATGGCTATTGGATTACCGTATTTTTATGTACTAATCTTGCATGTGGAATTTCATCAACTTAGAATAAGACAAATCGAATGAGAACAGAAAAATGTAAACATATGAGTGTGGTTGCCGATTACATTGGATAAACATAAACCTATGGAACAGGACCATACTAAGTTTGTATTAGTATTTAAGTGGGAAACGCAGTTGTTATTCCAAGCTCCCTGCAGTCTGGTCGAAATTTCTCAATTCTTTGGGCTTTATCAACAGACAATTGAAGAAAACGTGCATAATGCACGTTTTCTTCAATTGTCTGTTGATAATGGAGCATATGCAAAAGATTTTTTTTTGCAAAATTTAGGTTTCTCGGAGATGCATGAAATGCAAATCGAAAGTTGGATTGGGGTTGGAAAAGTGAAAAAAGACTTATAATGGCATATACCAACTAACCTCATCAGGACCAGCAGTGAAAAAATATTCGAGTTGTAATGCTTTAAATCCAGTGACAATGATTTTGCTTAGAGCGTTCGATGCTTTTAATTCTTTCAAATATTCTTCAGCTTTTTCTTCACCCATGTCTAGAAGCTAAAAAATTTGTTACAATAACTAACTCTTTATTTTAACATGGTTGTCTCAATTATAAGTACTAATATTGGTATTATTTTTGAAAAAAAAAATCAAAAGTATAAATCTTACAAAAAAGTTTTCGAAGTCATGAAGTCAAAAGTCATGGGCACAATTCATTATTCAACCAAGGACCACACCTAACTCATTGTGTAAGATATTAAATAGGAAAGGTTGAATCAGAAATATCATGATTTCCCAAAGCTCACTATCGCACTGGCCTCGGAGGAGTATAGAGCACCGGAGTTGTGAAAATCGTAGAATGAGAACTAGAATTACCAGTAGGTGCTTTATTCAGAGTGTAAGGTGTGAAAACGTCTCATAAAAAAGTTGGATTAGAGAGCCTTTCGTAAAGGGAAGAGGAAAAATTAAATACTGGAATACATGACTTACCTCCATTTCAAGAGCTCCAGAAAATGGAATAATTGAACTTCCAGGATCATGTTCTTTTACCCATTCACTAATTTTTAGTAACCATTTGTTTTTCTTCCTTAAATAATCTTTCTTACTCAGATTGACCAGGTAAATCTAGATAAATAATTGTTATTTTAAATCAAATTCACTCCAAATACAGTATAGCTGTAAATAATTAAAATCTACAAAAATTGTTTCAATTTTAGAACTCAAAATACTATACCTGGAAGAGGCAGCAAACATACCTTAGTTCAAAATCTTTAGTCTAAGCTAATTCATGTTAACACATATTAAATCAAAAGTCATCGATAACACCAGGAAGATAAATACTGTAGAAATAGAATTTAAAAAACAGATGAAGAATAAAGTTCATACGTGAGGTTTTGATGTCAAAAAAAGATGTTTGTTCAAAACTTCCACTTCTTTCTCATTCCACTCTGCAAACCTTATCGGTTTCTTTTCATCATTGAGCATTGTTTGGATTCTAACGAACGTATCATATTCAACTTTGTACTAAATGATGAATAGTTCAATATTAATTTTTATACAAAGCTCTATCATAAGATAAATAGGTCAAAAGAATATTGGTTGGAAAAAGCAAAAAAGACATCTAAGAAGTAGGCATAGAAGACTTAAAGAGTTCATTCGACATTGGTATTAAAAACCTACAGTAAAAAAGCATAAAAAGTCATTACCAAGACACAATAAACACACATTAATACAAATGAAGAATTCCTTTTACGATAAATTTGATTTACAAGAGGTTTAATTTTATCATTTTAAGACAACAGTTTAAACGAGAATATCGGTCAGAGACCGAAGACTTATTGATCGAAAGTTAGGGGATCCCCCAAAACAGCGCTCTTATTCCATAGTGACACCTTGTGTCCCATCACTAATTAATTAATAACTCACTAATTATACGACATAATTCGCCCAAAATCAATAGGCTTCTGGTCCGAGATATGATGAATGCACATGCAAAATTTGGAGCAGATTCAATCGTGAGATATCGCGAGCATCTAACAGACAGACAAATACCTATCAACATACTCACCGATTAAAATTGAAAAGTAATAAGCATTTCGTCATGATTACTGATAATATTCGACATACTCGTTCATCATTCATATTACATCAATTCACAATATTCTATTTAGCAAACTATATCAGAAGACTTGTTAGAATAACTTTTAAGTTTGATTTGTGGAATATCCGGGTATGAAAAGGATAGATTGCAAATTGAGAAGACATATGCAAACCCTAAATACTATAAGCTACAAAGTATTTCAAATTAACAACAATATCAGAAAAAATATCTTTTTAATATGATGATTTCAAACACTGTTTATATTTTACATTTATATTAAGACGTTGGAATACAACATTTCACTAACAACTGACCTTTTTCTCGCCTCCTCTGACAAATACTTTCTCAAGTTCAGTCAGTCGTTTTGATAAATATTCGATATCTTTCAATCTCAATTCATCGTGAATTATCTCCATGTCTCTGACAGGATTGACGTCTCCTTCTACATGAGTTACCTGATTAAATACATATCAATGATGAATTAAATTCGTAGCAGTTCTAATGTATAAAAAATGCTAGGTCAATAGGTGATTATTAAATTATATTTGTGGTTAGCTAAAAGTCCATAATAGTAATTTGAATGAATTCAAAAAATGAAATTTGGATTATTATTCTTAAATATTCGATTCATTTTGAATGGTCTTAATCACTATTTGAATGGCCTGCCATAAATGACGGATTCTGCCTCAAAGTTTGGACAAAAACATGAGTTGATGCATACAAAAGAAATTTCACCAATAGTACAGTGATCCTTATCCATATATAAATTGCTATAAAAGTTTTTTCCAACTATATCGATTATCGATTGTTAATAAAGTTTTTCCAACTACTGTACATCAATTTCTAATATGCCTCATGCAAACTTGATAACACTTTTAAGAGAACTTCAGCTAATTGCTATGCTAATTTTCCATTCACCATTTATTTATAAATGAGCTTTATTTAATTTATGAAGTTTGTTTCCAGTAAGCAATACATAAGGAGCAAACAAGATTACATGAAAACTTACATCGTCGTCGTCAAATGCTCTTGTCATGTGAAAAATTGCATCACAGCCGCTGATATGTGATAAAAACGCATTTCCTAAACCTTGACCTTCATTTGCTCCTTTCACCAATCCTGCGATGTCCACAACAGCAAGGAATGCTGGTACCTATAAAATTCATTTTAGATGAATGAAGTTACAAAATAATAAATAGTAAATACATTGAAATTTTAAAAATTATCTGACAACAAATATAACTTTCTCATATAAATAGGATAAGATTTTCATATTTGTTCCAGAAGAGAGGGAAGGCAACTTAATCATGTGACGAACCACAGCCTCTCATCCGTTTACCAGTCCATGTCTGGTATGGAAATAGTTAATTAGTTATTCGTTTCAGATGCATGATGATGAAGAGTAACACAAGTCAGGGTACAAAACCCCCTACAACGGCAAACAGTCTAGCAATCCTCTTGCACATAATTATCATCAAGGCTTCGAACCTGAGAACCAGCAAAGAATATTCAGAGGTTTGAGAGGTAACCATTAACAATTATTTTATCAACCTTGCTAGCTGGTTTATGATGTTTACACAAGAAATCCCATCTTTCATCAGGTACAGGAACTCTGCTCTCATTTGGATCAATCGTACAAAAAGGAAAGTTTTCAGCAGAAGCCTGGAAAAACAAATATAGTTTAAGATATATATTAATTACATTTGGTATGAAAAAAAAGGAAATAAGATCTACTTCCAAAGTTGTGCAATCAAAGAAACATGATCTTATTTTGTTTCCCAAAACTTTAACACTTATTGTTCTAATGCAATTAGCCCAATATCATTATATTTTCACAATTTTTAATTTATTTATGTTGATATTGTTTGTGAAAAATAAATTTCTCTCTCTCATTGTTCAGGGATGTTAAGAGTAGAACAGGAAAAATAGAATATCCTTCATTTCTAAATAAAATTAAATATTTATCTTGAAATAAATTGAATCTTTCCTCAATTTTTGAAATTCAAAATTTCAACTCGTCGGGAATACAGTACCCTATTACTGTATTATTGCTAAAACTATCAACCAATAATAATATTTAACTATAAAATTTGTTCACCTGGCTTTTTGTGAGAACGTTGAAAAATGTAGACTTGCCGACGTTTGGCAATCCCACGATTCCTATTTTTAAAGACGTCCCCAAGCGCCCGAGCAACAGGGGCTTTTTTACTTCTTCGCCCTTTTTCTTGGGAGGCATATTTCAATGTTGGAATGGGATTATACTTTTCTACAAGACGTCAAATGATAACTGTTTACTTTATTGGTTATCAGCCCAACAATTCTCACAAAAAAATAAACTGTAAACCAGCCTACCAGCGAGTGATAACAGCTGCTGACGCAACTGGCCCTCTCTACTTCGCGTCACTAATTTCACACAACACATGTTTACATATTTTATTAATATACAACGTATGGTGTCGCTCTTGTGTCAGCATTTGCCCGCGACCACTTGCAATGAATGTTCCCATAGCATCTATTTTCTTGTGAATTTTTTCCGTAACAATATAACATGTAAAAAATCCAAGCATCTTAATATACCTAATACACTGAAAGTGAATTTTTTATTTGTTTGATGCATTCCAATGTATTTAATAGTCGCGTCGCTTCCGGTTTTAACCAAGTCATTAGGTTTTAGTTAGCGTTCTCTGCTGACTCTCTGTAAGCAAATTTTGGAGTAAGTAGCATATCATACAATAACCAGACAGGAGTTCTTATTCATATATATAATACTAAAACAAAGCGAAAAAATTGAAAATAAAATGACAAACAATTGATAAAATTCCGCTTTATGGATAGGGTTACCATATTTTTGTGAACCTCAAAGAAGGACGCCTCCAAAAACAACGGCCCCTTAGCTGTGATTTTCTAACTTTACATTTTCCGATTTTACTACAAAGGCCTACATTTAATGCAATCCCGGCTGTCTTCATTGACCATATTGTCATCGAGAGTTTATGTGCATATTCACCGTCTAAATATCGGGTTCAGTTCGAAAAATAGAAAGGAATTGACGTTAACGATACGAAATAATTCGAATTTAGATTTTTTATGTACAACAATGGGAAGAAAAAATAATAAATTAGTCTGCGGCTTTCAAGCACTGAGAATTTACTTATTCGCCAAATCATACTTTTCTGTAGTTAACAACTTCTTCAAAAAGACGTTGTTCAATATTGCTTTCACGTAAAAGTCAGAGCAGGACCAATTACATGTGATAGGTTCGCTAAAAATGAAATAAACAGAATAACGCATTCACCTCCAGTAAGTGGGCAAGCGCTGCGCTGCAAAGCAACAGCAGTAACGAAAACATGTTAATTGGAAATGTTCGTGTATTATGCTGGATGGCTGAACGCCAAAGCGGAACTTTTGCCTGACTTGTCGGGACGGCGGGACAAGACGCTAAAAAGCGGGACTGTCTCGCCTAAAGCGGGGCGTATAGTAAGCCCATTTATGGAGAATGTAGTAACCAGAGTGGATTTTGAAACCAGATTGAACTTGTAATTTTGTAGTTTGAGCAGTTCAGCTCCTCTTTTCGTTACAATAGTGTATATAGCATAAAAAGAAGTTCATGTTGATTTCAAATAACGGAAAGCTTGATATTTACAAGCGAAAACTTAATCTTAAATTTCGGTATTTTTCTAATATCCGTGAAATATCTTGTTGGCGTCCATACTGTAGAATGGTGCATGAATAATATCGTTAACAGTACATTTCCAGCATAAGATTAGCTGGCCTAATCGTTCATGATGCCCGAAAGTAAAAGCTGGAGCAGCTACACTAGGTTACGCCATCCACCCAGCCAGTATGTGCCCTAGCACTTTATTTTAGGGAGTGTTTCCAAATTTGGGGGTGGATATAACTTATTAATGTGGTGCTCAAAGGGGGTAAGGGAAATCACAAAGGCGGTGTTGAGGTTTTTCGATTTTTCACACACAGACGTTTATCCGTGCGATATCAATGCCAAATTGACTTGAAACATACGCCAAGCTACCAGCCAAGTCTATTACGTCGCGGCCAGTTTGCAATTGCCATGATTCTAACAAATGCTTATTTGCGGCGATTTGCTATTTCAGATCAATGCGTATCACCAAACTAATCATATACTCAAGTTATAGTATATACTATAGCTATGCCACATTATTAGATCAAAAAGTGGTTTCAATCAACGGAAGCTTTTCTTTGAAAGCTATGAACAATATATATACACGTGGTTATCTAGATTCTAGGACACCTTTAAAATTCCCCAGACTCGGGGAATGGGAAATTTCCCACCCATCTGTTGGTCTTATGGTCCTAGTATCTCCTACATAACTTCTGGTTTAGTTTGTTATTTCATGCGGTACTCACCGTAAATATAAGGTATAGTAGTTTCAAAACTCTTGGATTCATACTTTTTCAATTAGATATTAGAACCTTAGGTGTCGCTGCTCGATAACCAGTTTGGTTCCCCGCGACTTTCCTTCCCCAGTAAAACTGTGTAAAGTATTTTTTGTCGTAATTTATGATTGTGCTATTTTTTACTAGTTGGAAAAAATAAACTTGACTTGACTATAAAATACTATGCATTGCTCTCGACGGTACATTTTTTACTAGAAGTCAAAACTACAATAAATAAGATATGTCTGTGTGTCTTTATTGATACCAAAAGTCAACACAATACAATATAGGAATGATTATACGGTCCCAACTGCCACTCGAAAGACCTCCCTCACGAAAAGCATATTGAACTGTCATTTGACAATAGATTTAAGAGCAGCTAGCAACCTTGGGCAGAGACTTATTCTCTTATAAAAGAGTTCGAATGTCGTTAGCCTAAATCAAAATGGGGGACCACCTGAAGTATGCGCACCAAGATGGCGCACAACCTGAACCCAGGTTGTGTACCAGGTTATGGTTCCGGTTGTGCGACATCTTGGTGCGCATACTTCAGAAGTACCAAAATGGGGATAAATATGCCTGTGTAAATATTTGTTGTTCTTGGAAACTAAATAATGTACCATGGTGATATATGTCATTGAAATAAATTCTACCGTGTGGCTATAACACTGTTCATGATATGTATTGCACGTCAATAAATTGATTGCATAATTGGTCAACAGCTTTTATATCGCCTATTAACTTTTACAATTTCCGTGTCAGGCAATAATAAAATGAAATCATTGAAAATAAAATAATTACTAACATATATATGTTATTTAAAAGCAATCATCAATACATCGATTGGCCACAATTCCATTTTCAGTTCTAAATATGTACCATACAATTATAGAAGGTAAAAAAACAAGAACGAATGATGAATAACGAAAATTTTTAAAATTTGAAACATCAGATGCCGGGGTTTTGACTCATTTGTGCTGTCCAAATGCCGATTATATTAATCGCGCAGCCTATGTAAGTCAGTCATCACCAATTTTGTTTTTGTAGAAAATTTTCACTCCTATTATATATGAATAAAATATCACTCGTCAATTTTAGTTCAATGTATACCAATTCAATTTCAATATATTAAAAGAAAAATTTAAGTAAACGTAATTGTGCACCTCAATGGTTAACATTAATCCTGACTGTGTTGATAACAAATGTTTAGAAATGTTAGATTCAAAATATGCTAGGTTTAGCAAGTCAAGCCGAACATGCCACTCAACTGATTAGGTAACTGAAAAAATCATCTTTACGTATACTTTTTTATCAAATGAAATGAAATTTATTGGAAGCAGATTGAACTTGTAATTTTGTGTTTGCAATATTATAATTCATTTCCTTTTTTGTGATGATTTTGATTAATTCAATATGAAGATAGTTTCAATAGGTTATTTGAACTAAAAATAGACTTTCGATTTTGAAAAGCAAAATGTTACGACTACTCAGACTAATCTGAATTTCACAATTTAATTAATTTCTGTGGTATATAGATCATGTTTTGGCTCAACTAAATAACCACTTATGAATGTCTGGCTGGAATTGAGTGCGATCTAATAGTTGTCGGCCATCGGAACTTGTAAAAACCACAAACATATCAGGAGGTTTCTATCAATGTAATAATACATTTATTTGTGGATTGTAACGATTTGTACATCCTAAAACTGGGTAAATACATCAATTCTTTTGGCAGTCGGTGTAATTCAGTCCCGCCTCAATTGAATATATATATAGTTATAACATTACGAAATAATATTTCTGTCGACAATGTTTGTTAGAATCAAAATATCAATTTACACATGATCAGTGAAGTCCTAACACTTACCGGTATGCTATTCATGTCACTGAGCGTCAATTAACCATTAACATGCTGGCACGAAAGGAATTTTTTAGTTTTTCTTCACTTTTTAATGTTATATGGCGCTCGTATATTTCTTAAACGGTTAGCAGCCATTAACCGTCCTAACTGTTCTAAAATGAAAATGTCGATGTTCAAACTCTATCAAATTACCCATAGTATTTTGTCATTTAATGACAGTCTTGCAGTTTCTAGGATTTTAAAATTTATATTTCACAAATGCATATTCCATTCCATGACTTCATTAAAAATTCCATCCTAGTCACAATACAATTCATAAAATATCGAAATTTTTATGGTATGAAAATCTTGTCCATTGTATTTGTAGTGTATAAATGAATTCCATTTGCAATTATTGCAAATTGGCATAACAAAGTACCTGTCTATATTAAGGAACATATGGACATGAGCATGAACTGAACCTGTCAACTGAACGTGTCATGTCTAATACTAAGTGGTGGCTACAAAATATGGAACATTCACATTCTGAGTTCAAGTGCAAATAACTTTTCTATTTTTAAAATTTGTCAATAAAAATACCTCAGGTTGATATGCCACAGTGTTTCTCAGCTTTGGGTGGATATTTCCAAAAAAATCGATACAAACTTCGGCAAAAATATAAACAATACATCAGTTATATATATAAACAAAAGATATAAACAAAAGATCGATACAAACTTCTTCAGCTGTTAATTAGGAGATTAAATATGTCTTGGTAGCCTTTTATTTCTTCCCACTTTGAAAATATGCCCTTGAAAATATAAACAAACATCAGTTATGGGACTAAAAACAAATTTACCTGCCAGTGTCATGTCATGTTCGTTGTATACAGGAATGTGAGAAGGTATTCGTTTTACAACTAACTGGGGAATATGATTAACACACATACATTAGATTAAATATTAAATACCACAGACATCCCATCAAAATTGAGGTTCAAAAAGAAGTCAATTGGATCATATCCCAATGATGTAATCTCTCCCTCAATAACTGTGACTAACATGATCATAGTTGTAGACAATTTTTAACAGTGGTTCTCAACTGCCGGTCCGCGTCAACTTTCTGTGGTCCGCAAATATAGTCCAATATTATATCTTA